ATCCTTGACCGGCAAATCCATTTGTCAATTGTGGTTGAGGTTTCCTTACCGCATGTTCCAGTGTAAAATTAAATAGCAGGGGGCGAGAGGATTTCCTTGTCTACGCCCGGTGTCAATGGGTGCTGCTGCACGAGAGCCCGGTGCTGCCAATTCTGATCCTGCGGAAGCGTACAACACCTGGCGTAGGACGAATCTCTGGTCTGTGATCGATCTTCCCGTTCTGATTATTTCCTCTGCGTATGGAGTTAGTCTTCTAGACAGTATTATGGATATAATTTTGTACGTTGAATTGATTAACGATGTTTCTCTATAGTTCCGACATATTTGTTGGTCTCCCTTCTTGTGGATAGGTACTATGTGGCTTTCATGCCAGTGTTTCGATATTTCTTCTCTTTCTCAGACTTCTCTTATAAGATGATATATCTCAAGGTGGAGCTTTTCTTCCCCTTTTTTAGTAGTTCCACCTGTTTGCCGTCTGGGCCTGGGGCTTTATGGTTTTTTAGGTACGAAATTGCGGACTTTACTTCAGCTAGTGTGGGCCTGGTATTTCAAGTTCGGCTAACTGGTACTGTCTTTGTTGCCCTGTCGTTGTGGGTTTTCTGTATTTAAGAGTTGCTCAAAATACTTTCTCCATTGGCAATCTCCTCGTCGTCTGTGAGAAATTGTCCTGCATCGTCTTTTATAAATCTTGGGCTGTTGCTAGTTTCTTATAAAACTGTCTAGACTGACCGGTTCTATGTTTCTCCTCCATTTGCTGTATTCGCGTTTCTAGGTACTGTTTCTTTTGTCTTCTCAAAAGTCTTCTCGTTTGAGTCCTTACTCTGTTGTAGTCTTCCCTGTTCTCATTTGTAGGGCATGTTAGTAACTCTAACCTCTTGATTGCTTTCTGATGCAAGCTTTGTTTGCACTCCTGGTCAAACCACTGGTTTTTCTTCTTGTTATTTCTTTCTTTTCGTATAGTTTCCGCTTCAACACTTTCTATGACGTTCGTTATATTTTGCCATTTCTGGTCTATGGTCAATTCTGGCGTTGATGTTTCTTGTTCTTCCATGTCTGCAATTTGTTTTGGATCAGTGCCTGATATTGGCGTTCATTATCAGGTAAATGATCAGGCCTTTAAATGTCCCATCTGTTTCATTGATGGCGTTGCTTTGGCTGTCTCGTCTTTAGCCTTGTTCTTATTTATGTTCTAACCAGGAAGTGGTCAGAGTCACTTTCTGCTCCCCTCAGACTGTGTGCGCTGATGATACCGCTAGAATGTCTTCCATCGATAAGCACATGGTCTATCTGGTTTCGTGTGATTCCGTCATTTGACACCCAGGTTACTTTATGTATATCTTTTCTTTGGAATTGTGTAGTTTTTGCTACCATATTGTTGGCTACAACGAATTTTGCTAGTCTTGATCCGTTATCATTAGTGTTATCATGTAAGCTATGGGTGCCGATCACCGCTCTAAGATGGTCCTCTTTACCTAGTTTGGCAGTGAAGTCTCCCAGTATGATTTTGCATCGTATCTGAGTGCCGTTATGTACCGTTGTTCTGAAATTTCATAAAATTCCTCCTTGTCGTTTTCATTTTGCTTCTTCCGTTGGTGCGTGGATTGGGAGGAGGGTTAGGTTAAACCACTTCCTTTAGCCCCACTACCTCTTTTGAACCTCGTCAAATAGTTTTTGATTTTTTTAACAAAATGTTTACAATCTACTCTGTACACAGAGTAATAAGAAAAAGGTCTGTAACTAAATTAACGTGAGTTAGGTGACGATTCTCTAGGTATTATTGGGGTAGATCTTCTGGTCATACTCTCTTCAATCTTCTTTCGGCAAGTGCTTGGTACAGTATCGAATGTTTTACTGAACTATTATGAAGCAGAATATAATGCAGGCTATAATAAATGTGTGAAACTACAAGAAGAATATATTAAGGCTGGCCTAGATGTTAATCTCACGAAAACAGAGTACCTATCTACAAGTAAAGAAGACATAGAAGATCTACAGATTGATGACAACGTAACAATCAACGGAAAGGATAAATTCAAATACTTGGGGCTCATAATCACGAAGAAGGCAACAACAGAGGAAGCAATTACACAAAGATTAAGACAAACAAGAACAGCAATCCGACAATTTAACTTAGTATGGTGGGATAGACTCCTAAATATGAAGAAAAAAACACAGATTTATAAAACATTAGTTCGAAGTAAGTTTCTAAAACATTGAAAAATAGCAGTAAGATAGTAGCAACAGAGATGGAATGTCTGCGAAGATGCTGCAGAGTAACATGAATGGATAGGGAGAAAGTAAATAACGAAACTAAAAGCAAAGACATCAATAGAAACAGACTACTACATATATAGAACAAAAAGTGGTATGGACATGTAAGAAGAACTAGCGACAGCAGATGGATAAAGAGAATAACCGAATGGAGTCCCATAGGAAGGAGGAAAAGAGGACGACCCCGAAGATCCTGGAGGAACGAAGTAGACGACACCATGAGTAAGAGAGGCCAAAACGATGGAGAATGGGACAACAAAGAGAGATGGAAACGGTTCAGCGAGGGAAACCACCATAAGAAAAGCTGTGCAGAAATTCAACGAAGAACAAAAAACTGATAAATCTGTGCGCCATAATGAATTACCTACGTACTTATAAACAATACATAGTTATTGCTATCACATAACACAGTTTGGCCTTATGGATATATCGAATATCGAAATTTAATGAAGAATTCCTAGAAAATGAGAGCACTAAACTCTATCAAAGACGAATGGAAGAAGAGATATCCCAGATTGTAATAAAAATGGACAGCGTTGAAGAATCCAGGTCAAAACTAAAAGCTAATATTACAAGTAGTACCGCAGCGGCAATAATGCAAAGAACAATCAACACAAACATAACAAAAATCAATAATAATAATACCATGGTGTAGCTACACATGAAAAATTAATGTCTAAAAAGTCATCTAATGAAAAAACTATTCAATCAATCAACGGAAAGAAGATTCAAGAGTCTATGGCTAGAAGCGTTGATTGAATAACCCGTTCATTGAATGCTTTGGGTTATTCAATCAACGCTAGAAGACTTAACATAAATGTACAGTGAAACATTGATGGATGGTACCTGACTCCAGGCCCTTTATCTTTCACCATATTTACTCAGTATTATATGTATTTATTGATCAGTTTGTAAATTACAATACAATTAAAAAATAAACTCTATGTCGTAATTCATATCGAGTAGATAATACCTAATATAAATACAAAATTTAAATTTTATAAAGTTTGGATTTCTTTTTAAGAGGTAATTAATAATGTCTTAGTGATATTTATATAGACAGATAATATTTAAATTTAGTGACTATTTAGTAAAACCGTTGATTGAATATATTCTGATATTCAATAAACAGTAAACACAAATAATTTATAACCAAAAATTAGAAACAGCTTTTGTGTGTGCCCTCTAGTGACAGAATCAGAATTAAGGTTGACAGAATTCTGGAAAATTTTGTTAAGATAAAAGATTTTTATTAAATAGAAAAGTTTTTAGTATTTCATTGAAAAGCTGTATTTATTAGTGGTATTTTAATTTTATAATTTTTTAAACCATTATATTATTTATATACAAGAATTTATTTGAACAATGACTCCAAATCTATTTACAATCGTTTTGGAGCAAGCTGTGAAGAAAATGGCATACAATTAAGACAGATTTGCCAATGTCATAGTATTAAATGCGTCTATATTCTTTGGTATTACCATAAAATATAGACACATATGTGTATTACTATTACCAACATGCGTCTATATTCTTTGGTATTACAAACAACAGTCTCCTACCAGATGGTCTAAAGAGAATACCAGGATAATGGATAAACAACTGTATAATACAGAGAATTTAGCTAAATGATTATTTCTAATATTTTCTCCTAATTGTATTAACTCCTTTTTGCCCCGAATACACTTTCCTTCTCACCTTTTACCTCGAATCCAGCACAAGTAATTTATGTTGTTGATTACGTCTCGTTAACTATTAACTTGCAGTCCCAATATTTACGTGTATTTTCTTTTCTTGTCATAAAATAATCATTTAAGACTAATATCAATATAAACGAAATATTCGTTCTACTAGTTCGAGCTGTTATTATAAAATAAATATGATCTAAATAAAGATCACTTTAATTGAAAAATATAAAACTTTTTCCGTTTTGATGTATAATTCCGTCAGATAACTGTGCTCATTAAATTCTACTGTGCTAATCATTAAATTTTAAGAAAATTGGAACCTGGAATCATAAAAATAGTACTGCTTTAATCTATGGCCATAGTAACAAAATTTTTGTTTATACTGTCTATTCTATGACCATTTATTGTCTTCCTATGGGTCCTATCCTATGACTGACTTGTGTCGACTAACGACTTGAAAAAATAAAAAAAAAATTTATGACCATTACCAGAGAACTACGAATATGTTCTCTGCCATTACACCCATGGCAATGGATGAATGGACGTATAAATCGTCCATGAAAAACCAGACACCATGACCAAAATTTGAATATTAATTTTCTAATTTTATTCAGTGATTTCAGTGTAAAGTGTGAGTGTAATATTTCATTTGTAAAATAATTATTTATGTTTGTATTAGTTTAATAACCCCCGCAGGGGTTTGCAAAAATTGCCGTAGCGCACGGTTTTTCACGTGCACATGGCGGGGTATTGGTTAAAGTTTTCAACTAGCAATAATCGCACCTCGGAAAAACCTCATTGGTTACGATATCGCCACTGCGCAAAGCTGATTTGTACAACGGACTTGGGTAGCATAGGTGAAATCTCGTCTGCTTATATTACGCAGTACGCAACTGCTGCCATCTATGAGACAAAATCAACTTCATTTCGATTTTATTTACAAGAAACATTGTCACCAACATAAATATTTTAGTCCTTTTCATAAAATACGTTTGCAATCTTGAATCTTAACGGTTGTTTTATTGTCAAAATCAAAATTGACAGAAGTATGTTTAAAATTTGGAATATAGTGGTTTTTAACTTATTTGTACGTCTATTATGTTTTAAAGTATTAAGAGAAATTCAACATTTCGTCTGTGTTTAGTAGTATTAAGATATATGGCGTTTTCGACCCCTAGTTCTGCCAGGAAACGAGTGATTTCTTCAGCAATCTTCGATAAAACTCCAAAATCCAGCTATGCTACACCAAAGAATAAAAAGGTGGAAACTGTACCCACTACCCCAGAATGTTTTAATAATGTTCAAGTCGAAACCCCCGTGATCAAAAGGACTAGTAAAGATAAGTTTGATGAAGTCAGCAATTTAACTGTAGCTGTAAGGATAAGGCCTATGAATGCGAGAGAACTAGTTATTGTAGGTGCAACAGACGTAGTTCTAGTTCGAGACAAAGAATTAATCATCAGGGCTCAGAGTAACACTAGTGGTATGAGTATTGATCATCAATTTCAATATGATCACATTTTTTGGTCCTGTGATGAATCCAATGACTCATATGCCTCTCAAGAAGATGTATTTAGAACATTAGGAAGGCCTCTACTAAACAGTGCTTTTAAAGGATATAATGGGTGTCTGTTTGCTTATGGTCAAACTGGTTCAGGTATGGATTATATTTTACATTCTTTTATAAATATCCTATTTATAATTCCAACATTGCACTGCAAACACTGTTCAAACACTGCAAAGTGTTTCCTTGTTTAATGCATATTTGTACAATAGAAAGTAAGATTTTGATAATATTATTGTCAGGTTACATAGCTGGTACTTTTTCAAGGTGTCATGACATTTCTATATGAAATGTTGAAGGAATTTATACAGCTCTACTTAATCAAATGGATGTGCTGCATTCAAAATGTGCATACATGCTCAATATTTATATTGAATTTGTTTTATTTTGAAAACTTTCATATCTTTTTAACATTGTCAAAGCCTTTTTCTTCATTTTTCCATTCTACATAACTGTCATGGTCCATTCAGTATCATCACAGTCCACTTGGATGTACTGCTTTTTTTCTGTCATAACGAACTATTTTGTTGTTTGAAAGGCTAAAAATTAAATATCTACATAAGTGGAAGCTAGATGTTTTTTGCATCTTTCTATATCTGTCTCCATCTATATTCTCATAGTTTCTGTTAGTTTTCAAATAGAAAGTAAAATGATAAATAAACATAATAATTATTTATAAGTGATGAAATATTGTTTTATAATAGTATGTTTATAAATAACTGAAATATATAAAACTGAGGATTTTTGTTCAAAATCTGGTAACTTTTAAAACACAATTTGGGAAAATAAAATTTATGGGCCTCTGGCCAGTGACTGAAAGTCGCTCACTAGTTGGTCAGTGACATGCACATATTGTACTACTGTTAATTTGTTTTGTGATTACTCGCATTTTTGTTCGTTTTATAAAACATCTTTTTGTACCTACATTAATATGGATCCGACAAAGAGGATAGTGGACAGTGAAATAGGAAGTTTCTGGCAGAATGAACTGAAATAGTGAAGGAATGTATGCTGACAGTAACTAACTCACTTTTTAAAGAAAAAAGATGTTGACTTAGCAATTCAAAGCATCTCATTGTCAGCACAAAGTAATACATGGAGAACAGAAATTTTAGCTGCGGACAAAAACTCTCTTAATCTTTTGCAAAAGGCATCTTGCTACACCATAGCACTTGACGAATCATGTGACATTGTTGATGATGAACAAATGTCTGCTTTTGTAAGATTTCTTGATATTGGGTATCAGATTTTTAGGGAAGAGTTGCTAGCAATATTGTCGCTGAAAGGTAACATTCGAGGAGAAGATGTATTCAAGGTTATTGAAAAATAATTTCTAAATCTAACATCAGTTATAATTAAATGATTTTGCTTTCTACTGATGGTGCTCCAGCAATGATTGACAAAGAAAAAGGTGTAGTAAACATTCCACGCCGACATTTCAAGGAGCTCCTTTCTGAATGTGATTCAGCATATTCTGACTTACTATAATACAATAACTCTGGTTGGTTAAATAAACTTCTTAAATTAAACAGCATGCCAAGCAGTGTTCAAACTATATCAAATATATCTATAGGTTTGTTTGAAAACTGATAAAACCATTGAAAATATCAGAAACTTGTCTGAAAAGGAATTTGTAAATAAAATTTAAAAAATATTGATAAAAAATTCCATTTATTCAATCCAGGAATATTATTTAATAACATAATTTTAATTCATGTTTTGTACATATTTGACATCTGTAAGATTTTATATTTTTAACATGAATAATCAGTATTGAATATTTGAGAACTATACATATTGACAATTGGGATTTAACTATACAAAAGTGAATACTGTATACAGACAGTTATAACATTTAGAGGGTTAAGCTTGGACCTTATTCCTCTTACGAATTACTTGTGATATATGCTTATTTTCTGTCAGAATTATTTACAATAATATAGAATAATAAAAATTTTAATATTTTTTAGGTAAAAGTTTCAGCATGATGGGCAAAAATATGTGTGAAGCTTCTGACATGGATTGTCATGTGTTTTCTGGCATTACACCAAGGTTCTGTAAAGATATTTTTAACAGAATTGCTCAACTAGACAAAAACTCAATATGTACAGTAGAAGTTAGTTATTTTGAAATATACAATGAAAAGATCCACGATTTGCTTGCCTGTTCATCTACATCAACTAAACAACCTCTAAAAGTCAGAGAACATCCAGAATTGGGACCATATGTAGTTGATTTAAGTGTGCAAGTTGTAAAATCCTACAAGGAATTGAGGCATTGGCTTTTAGTAGGCAACCGTAATAGAGCTACGGCAGCTACAACAATGAATGAAAAATCTTCCAGATCACACAGTATTTTTTCCATTGAACTTTGTTTATCTGATGATAAAAATGGAGAGAGTGCCAGTCGAAAAAGTAGAATAAGCTTAGTTGATTTAGCTGGAAGTGAACGATTGGGAAATTCACATGGTGCTGAAGGAAGAATTAGAGAAGGCGTATGCATTAACAAATCTTTATTGACATTAGGAAAGGTTATTTCTGCTTTAGCTGACCAAAAGAAAAATCAATTTGTACCATATAGGGAATCAGTTTTAACATGGTTACTCAAGGTAAGTTTTTTATCAGTATGGCAATAGTTGCTATGTCTAAATTTTTAACATATTGAACATTATTTGAAACATTGCCTCCATTTTTTTCTGTCTTTATAGTTCAAATCTTGCATAATTCTGGCACTCATGGTCACTCAGTCAAAATACTGCTGTTTTGCTGTTCTATTCTTCTTTATATTTCTTTGTCATCTGTTCCAGTTCAATCAATATTTACTACCAGATAATTATAGTCTAGACAGTGTGTTATTTTTCTATCATTATTTAATGTTAGACTACTAGGTTCTTCACAGATATTTGGTCTTTTGGATGGTGACCCTGAAACCAAAATTTCATACTCTTCAATTAACCTGCTCATCATCTTCCTTATTATTTGGTCATTGGCAAACTGCAAAAAGTAAAGGGTCATATTTTAGAGTTCTATTCCCATTTCTAGAATTTTTCTTGTCTATAAAAATAAAAAGAAATTTTACAGAATCAGCGATACTGATCTGGCTGTTATTTAGAAGTAAGGGTTGAAGAGCTCCTTTATAGGATAATGCTACTGTCTCATCCACGTTAAGAGAGAGTAAATTATGAGTCGGACCAGGTTTTTATTTTAAGTAGATCAGAAGTTATACTTGCATAAAGAGTTGCCATATTACAGTTCCTCCAGGTAATACTGATATCATCAGCAAAATGAAAAATGTTTCCATCGATTTTTATGTTAGTGATGACATTTATAAAGATAAGGACTCAAACTAAATCAAAACGCATCGATTACTCTGGCAATTATAGGAAAACAAAAACTGATTTTATATACCAGTGAAATATTTTAGAAAACAGTTGATCTTTGTCTAGATTTCCATACTGGCCTAGTAGGTAGAAGTTTTGTGGTCTTTCTCGTATATACTGGCATACAGCTCTGGATTTTGTCCAACAAGGTAGATAACATATATTTCTACCTTATACCCAATATCTTCTTCTGCAGTTCCAAGGTGCATATATATCTTGTCAACCCTCTATCAAACTGTCATTATTGATAATTTAGATTAATTTATTAGTTAGTCCTATCTCCAATTTAATTTATTTTACTAATAAACTATATTTTTAGGAGAGTCTTGGAGGCAATTCATTAACCACTATGTTAGCAACGATAAGTCCCTCCAGTACACATCTAGATGAAACCCTAGCCACGCTCAGATATGCTTGCCAAGCTAGATCAATAGTAAACAGAGCTAGAGTTAACGAGAATCCACATGATCGTCTAATACGAGAACTTCGTTCAGAAGTTGAGAGATTGCGAGCCTTGCGTCAAGACTTTGAGCGCAGTTCATTATCTTCCTCTTCTCTTACTTCTTGTAATGATGCCCATGATGAAGAGCTAGAAGGACTTAGAAAGAAACTAAGTGATTCAGAAAAACAGTTAGATGATGCTCAAAAGAACTGGGAGAAGAGGTTTTTGGAAACCAAAGAAACGCAGCTAAAGGAATTAGCTGAGGCCGAAAAGTACAAAGCTGAGCTTGAGTCGAAGGTTCGAGTTATGAAAAGAATTGATGATAATGTAAAATTGTCGCCATATAGGACCAACTTTCTTGAAGAATTGGAATGTGTGCTGACTGATGAAACGGATGTAGTAGTAGATAATATCATGTTGGATGTTTTAACTGACTGGTGTTGTAGGAATGGATTGACTTGTACTTTTTCATCAGATACTTTGATAATAAAGGATCCTGTGAAGAATAGGCATACACATATATTAATAAACGCAATAGATATGAACGGACATGAAAACGTTAGTGACTTTGTAGATAGTCTGACATGGACAAACACTAAGAATTCCACCAAAAAGATTAGTAAGAATGAGGTAATGTCATCCATGAATCAGATTTATCAAGCTTTAGCAACCTTGCAGCCTCCAGAAAGCGAAAATAATTTGTGCCTGTTGTTTGCCAAAGTTAACAAGACCTTACAAAGTTTTGAAGCTGCGTTATTGAATAACGCCAAGAGTAATGCAGGGCAAAAAGTTGTAACCTTCGATAGAGATATTTGAAGGTTAAATTTGATATATTTACGAACTAGCGATATTATTTATGTTTTATATTTTTAATGTTTGTAACAAAAAGTATTTTGTAAATCGTATACAATAAAGTGTATATTTTTGGTTAGAAAAACAAGCGTTTTATTTTATTAAGATTTGGACTAAGGATGGTGGCGGAAATGAAGGCGAAGAAAACATAGAGCTAGAGTAAATAAGTAGAGAAGAAGTAGAAGGATTATCAAACATAAAAATGGGCAAGGCAGGTGGAGATGATGAAATTGAACCGGTAAAATACGCGGAGAAGAAGGTAGAAACTGGCTATGGAAAATATCAGGAGCTTGGAAGAGTAAGGGTGAACTCACAAAGTGGACTTTTCAAAAACAGTCTCATCTTTCTCACAAATCTTTAAAGAATGCTTGTATATATTATAAAAGTATGCTTCGCCCTTCATATTCCTGAAATTCTGTAAGAAATAATGTACCTATCTGTAACTCTGCAACCGTATCAACGCGCCGGTGTTTCTGTAGTTGGTGAGAGATAGTCTCAGATATATGCGTTGTTCTTAAGTTTTTGTAGTTTTAATTCTCATATTTCAAGAAAAAACCGACAAAACATTAGCCTTAAAGTTGTTTTGTTTTTTTCTGATTTATTTTCAAAATTAACGTCGAGAAAACGACAAGGCGGAAGCAAAAGTAAAACCAAACGAAACTGTGGTGAAGCGCACGTTTCCAGAAATACAAAGAACACTGTATCTGCATGCACAATCGGACTGCCATGTAAGTGTTGTAAAATATATTTTGAAAAGTTGGGCATGAACAATATCAATATGATTTTGTAATAAAATATAAAAAAACAAGGAAATGGAACTGACGAAGAATGAATGAAGGCAGACAAATGACAACATCAACATATATATCATTAAGAACCTAACAGAAAGAAACATATACACTGGGCGAACTAGTATTAGCATTCATGGGCCTAAGAGCAGCATTTGACACGATAGAAAGACAAATTATAGAGAAATGCTTGAGGAAAATGTATCAAATCTATATAAAAGGCTATGATGATAGGTCACTGTCACCTCGGGGGAACAAACAAGCGTCTAACCACCTTCTGATACCTCCGGGTGCTCTGTAGAGGGCTTCGGAAATGTCGTCGATACACCTCTACTTAAGTACATTTTCAGTGTATGGACTGGAAAATGTTCTCTTCTTCGGTGACTTGCCTTGATAAAAGAAAGTTATTTCTTACATGACAAAACGTCGAAATAAAACACCAAGTTGTAGAAGACTAAACCCTCAGCCACAGAGTATGGAAAAGTAGAAACTGAGTGCCCCGAGAGCACTAAGCTCTCGGAGAGCCCGTGAAATGAAAGAAATATAAACTACCATATATTTCAATTATATATTGTCTTAAAACGATACGTTTAATAAATAATACTGTATTAATTATATATTAACATAATTATTAATTAATTTTAATAATATTTTTAAGTTGGAATTCGTTATAAATTTAAAATTTTACGTTATTTTAGATTTAAAACCTAGCGCCATCTAGGAAAGAAAATCTGAACTACTCACATCTACCATTTCATTCATATACTCGGTTCGCTAATCCCAGTCCGAACTGTCTATACTACGTTCCGCGTTTAGAAAAGAACATTGCGGAGATAGGCCCATGTATTTCTTATGGACGATAGCAACGCGGCGTTGCCACGACACACACAAGCACAATTTAGGGTTGTATAATTTGTATTTTTGTTTCCACAAACGTGAATTAAATTAATGTTTTTTAACGTAATTGACCAAAAGTGCCCATTCGAAACAAGAGATGAAAAGTAGGGAAAATGATTTTAATTAGATAAATAGTATTTACAAAAGATAATTTTATTTATCTTATTTTAATTATAGTAACGACAGTTTATTTGTTTTTCGGTGAGAATACGATATGCCATGAATCATAGAAATCAGTAGAAAATATTGACCGCTTGGAATGCGTATATCTAATTAGTAATTGCAACTTAAAATAATACGATGTGTGGATGTCAGCTATTTTATGTCGTTCTCTGACTACATAATGATAATAAGGCTTTTATTTAGTAGTTATTCTGACTTTACAGTTAAGTGTTAATTGAAAATGAAAATTCAAAAATTAAGCAAAGGGAATATCTTGGACATCCGTGCAAAAGAGAGTGTCTGAGAGTTTTGGCAACACTGATCTCCATAAGCGTAATGTTATTTTCTTAACTTGAAACAAAGAATAGTGATTTTAGTAATTTTGTTTTTACGAAATTAGTTATTTTTGACAGACTAGAAGTGGTTGGAATAATATGTGGCCTCTTATTTAATTTGGAAACCAGGAGTTAAGGGTAGTAATAAAAACTATTAACAAATTATTATGTTTAATTGTACAAATGGTTTGATAATACATTAATATGTACATTTATACAATAAATTAAAGGAGCTATTGAGCAACATAAGTTAAAAAAAGTAGATATCTAGTATCTATCTAAGTATCTAAAGAAAATACGACGAACGACCAAAATCATAATATAAACAATATATAAATGTAACTCCGTCGTACTATATCTACACGTCTCCTTATTCAAATATAAAGTTAAACTTAAATAAAACAGTGAACGTTGAATTTCTACAAAAACAAATTAAAATATAAAATCGGAATAATATTTATGTCATGTCTGTGTATTTATTCCAAATCCAAAAATACACTCATGGACAAAAATATCGAATATTTTAAAAATTTTTAAGTTTTGTTTTTTGAAAATTAATTCTGGTCAATTAAGTCGTTTATTGTGATGAAGAGTTTATTTTAACAATGGTTAGTGAATAATTTTAAGTTTTTATGCGGAGAAATTGCGAAAAAAATAATGCTTAATGTAAGGTAAATAAGGTTATGTGACTCTAAACTTAAATTGCTTAAACAAGTCGTTTTAACTCAAAATAGTGCATGGTCAGTGATGAGTATTCCCCCTCTAGTTCTTATTACTACTTGTATCTTTCTCGGCATGCTTGCAAGTACATTTTGGACATATCCTTGGGAAATTACATTCCGTTCATTCTATGCAGCAAGCCAAAGCTGCTCTATCATATTTTGAAAGGGATTTCTTTGTCGTATGGCTAAATCCGGGCCAAACGATGACTAATCCAATCTTCGAATTTGTACCTCATCAAGTTAATTACACACTATGGCAGGGGTATATGGTTGAGTACTAATCGTGAATTAACATGAATCCGTCATATCGAATGTAACCAACATATGACACAACATGATCTTGCAGGATGTTTTGAACGTAAGAGTCACCCATACTTTCCAAAGCTTTATGCAATCACCTCCAAAACTAACGGTCTGGGCGAGATTGCCGGTCGTGAATTGTTCTTCAACTCTTCTGTAGACGTGGTTTCGACTATCTGGCTTCCATAATAGGATTCTGGTCTCATCAGTGAAAAAACATTGAATTGTCGATATTTCACTGAATATGTGTTATTGCAAATTTTAAACGACGAGCTTTATGATTTTGGGGAAGACAGGGGACACAACTTTGACAGGGAGTCTGAAGTTTTCTTCATTTAATCTTCGTCTAATTATTTCTTAAACTCGCATTCCCCTGTCTAACATTTAGTAGCTTATTTATGCGGTGCACCTTGGGCGTCCTTGACCAGGCCTTCCTACAAAATTGCCTGCTTTTCAGTACCTTTTTAAAGTATTCGAAACTGTAGATTTACTTCTCCTGATACTTCGTGCAATATCTTTTTGTGTATATCCTTCTTCTTCTTCTTCTTTGGGTGCCGTCTTCAATGAAGGTTGGCGATAACCTGAGCAAAATTATTTCTGTCCCTGGCTTTTCTTATTAAAGATTGAGAATCCAAACCAGTCCACTCACGACTGTTCTTCAACCAGGACGCCTGCCGTCTACCAGGACCACGTTTTCCTTCTACCTTCCCCTCTATAAGAAGCTGCAGTAGCTGGTGTATATCCTTCTTTGTACAATTATATTATAATCTGTGCTGCTTGGGCTTCATCGCAGTGTCGAATTGGTGGCATACTGGTTTTAAACTTAAATACTTAAACTAAAAATAACCGAATTAGTATGATTTTTTCTTTACGCGAAGAAGGTTTTATATGATAAAATGTACGAATGACACTAAATTGGAAAATTCCAAAATATTCGATATTTTTGTCCATGAGTGGACAAAAATAATTCTTACAAGAATATGGATGCCTTACAATAAATTATAGATATAATTCTGAAAAAAAAATACATATCTATAAATTAGCAGTGAGTGCCCATTACACAGTACAAAATTCGTACGTTTACAATTAATTATGTATTTTTAAGACGGTAGTCCCATCATTACAGATCCAACTGACCTATGACACGGATTACTCAGCTAGATCTTTGACTTTGATTAGAATTTTCTCTTTATCAATACCAAATAATGCGTTGAGGCTTTTCAGCAGATTTATGCAAGATATGAAGTAAAATTCTGTAAGTAATTTAAATTTGCGGATAAGAATGTCGTTCTAGAGACTTTAGTTGCGGTTTCTAGAGACGGAGCACTTTTGTTTTATAAACAAATAAAGATAAGCAGTTAGCACTCCAACTCAAAAGTAAATATATCATAGTAAAACTAAATTACTTATATTTTGAGAATTAGCAACAGTAGAAGTAATAGGTATGTTCTGGACAAGAAAGCGACATCACAAAGTTGACAACGGTATACTGGATGGTCGTATCGTCACGTATGACAATCTTCCTTGGCAAGGGGACGTTACATTTTCTACCAAATATCACGTTATATATCGCATTTCACGTGAAATGTAACATTTTGTAGTATTAACCTTCCTATTCAGCAGCTCGGGCAGTTTGATGACATCTGCTGAAGATCAACGATGAACCACAACACATATGTCAAGATGATAATAGCTATGATGATGAAGCATCCTAATTACGATCAGTCCAGCATGACTTCAGTGTGCAGTCAAGTGAATGTCAATTCGATTGAATGATAATTGTCAAGTTCACAAACTTGAAGCTTTAAGAGGTAGTTCTCATTTCGCAGATGTTTGATATTATTTCAAACCGCTGTTTTCTTGGAAACTGGTAAGAAAATATTGGTGGAGTTTGCGTAATCTGTGTTGGTGATCAGGAATTGAGATATGTTGGAGTGATGAAGGCTGCAGCTGCGGAAAACTGTGACCTAAACAATGGAAGTATAGGCATCGAACATCCAAAGCTAACAAATTATATTTTAAATGTCAGTCATATTACTTTTTTGCCATAAATTTTATTCAATACTGTATTTTAACTTGTAATAACTTTATTTTACTAAAAATAAGTATTCACTGTACTGGTATTATGTATTTATTAAGCCTTAAAGGTTGTAGATGCCGAGGGCTTTGGTTTCTTGTTGGTTTAGTCATACTGTAAGAATGGTATACATTCTTCGATTAATCATGTTCTATTTGTAGTAATACCTCACACGTTGTTGTACGTTATATCGTTTTTAGGGTCACCTCGCCTTTCATACATTGTTTCGAGAGGAAGAGAGAAAGAGAGAGAGAGAGGAGAGAAAGAGAGAAGAAGCAATAGGCTGAAGGAGTATTTTTTTACGATGACAGGTGCAGACGAAATCCAATTAAACGTCAAAATAGGTCCAATATATGATAAAGCGCCGTTTTGACAATGTTGGCATGTTTGTTTCTCTGTTAGCCTCAGTGACTACTCTCCTTTCCTTCAACGTCTACTATTCTAAAATCCGTTCAATAACAACGAAGATCCGATATAGTGCCGTTTTGACAATGTCTTTTTAGCTATTTTTATCTTAACATATTTGTTACCACCTCTCCTTTCTATCGATACCTTGCACGTTGTTGTACGTTGAGCCGTTTAGACATTACAAGCTTAGTGTCCTTTTGGCAATACGCTATCATGTTTTTTCTGTGTCTACTTATTCGTTGGCCCTTCCCCTTCCATTGATACCTTGCATGTTGTTGTATGTTGCGTCGTCCCCTATCCAACGAGCCCTTGTACGTCATGATCAGAGGAGCCGTCGCGCCTCCACAACAAAAAGCTCAAAAAATGACCAGAATGGACCTTAGCCATTTCTTATGGGATTTAACATGGGGAATGAGCCCGTTCTCTTGTTGCCCTTTTACTCATATCAAAATATATTTTCATTTTTTGGTCAAACGGCTGAATTTAGAAAAAAATTTATTAAGACTTTTTTGCTCTAAATGGTGCTTCTACTTATATCTTTAAGGCACGCACTATTTTCGGGGACATCCTGTATAAAAAGTAAACATACATACGAACCTAACAAAATTAAATAATAGAATATTTTTAATTGTCATTATTTTTATTTCGATATAAAAAGTGAAACATACAATTACCACCGATGGGTATATTTAGTATGGAACAAAAAGAAGAAATTATTGCATTTTTCTTTATATCATTATTTTGGAGATTACTCCAAATTTTTCATACCAAATTTTCAGGAAATTGAAGACCATTCCCACATTTTCATGTCAAACACTATAATTTTAATTTACATTTTACTTTTCTATATACTCAGGAAACGAGAATCTGTAAAGTTTCCACAACTTTTTATATTATAGCTATAAGTAACCGTCTAGAGATATTTCTACAAAAATCTAAGCCCCAATTCACAACAATTAACCCTAAACAAGACATATCTGAGAAAGTATGGATGTTTCAAGATGAACCAAATTCAACAAAAGTTGTTCGCTTCGAAGCACTTTGAAATAAATGGGGGCCTTTTTTGCGGACAACAGACAAACTGATCAAGCAACAGTGTCTTTAGAGGAACGTAAAAAGTTTAATTACATATTTATAATTTATTGGTAAGCACTCTTTGGTGAAAAAAGGAAGACAATCAAGTCTAGTGTACAGTCCACATTGACACCAAATGACTTCTTTTTCCTCTCTCGTATTGTATCTATTCTACCGTATTGTAAGAAAAAATATGGACCTTGAAAAACCGTGACATAAACATTGGAAGCATTGCAAACGTGGTTATTTCTAACGTAACTAAAAATAAATTGAAAACAATATATAACAAATGAAAAATTCGATGCAATTCTGTTTGAATTCTGAGACAAAAAACAAGCTACATAAGACATCTGCATACAGCACGTACCTATTACACTAATTAAATAATTTAAAAAGTGCAAAGTGAGTACTACAGACCAGGTTTTACAGAATAGAAAAGTTCAAGGCCAACAAAACAAAAAGTGTCAGGAAAATTTGACATTACGATCAACTGATAGCCAAGAACAGAAAAAAGTCTTAATTAACGAAGAATCAGTCTAGAACATAGTGCTTAAGATATAAATTAATTTGCCAATGTCGTTAATTTGTACAATACACTAATTTTGCATTACAATTTACAAGTTACCAACTTAGAACGGAATTACCGTACCACAGGTTAGTCTTTAAAATCCGGAGAATCGATTCGTTTTACGTAAACCTCGCCGAATTTGCTCATGTACTTTCGAATAAATTCCCGGGCTTTCATTTTGACGTTATCGGTGCAAGTTAAGTCCTCAATCTTCATCAAGTATTTTATCTCTTTTAGCATGACGAAATGGGTTAACTGAAACAAAAACAATAAAACAATGTATTGAATAATTAAAATCAATAGTAGGTCATTTATTAAGTAGGTTTTATCCCGCAACCAGCGCGATCAAGATCACATGCCAAAATTTTAGAATATGCGACGAAAATAGAAGAAAAAGTTGGGAAATAATAATAACATAATAATTATTTACATCACCCAGATATCCACTTACACTGTAGAAAAAAATTTTGCAATAGAAACGATTTTAATTTACCTCGAAATTTATTTAAATTCGTTTCAAATTTAATACTGTTGGGAAGATGATTGATAACTCTTATACCCATATAATACTGCGATTTTTCAAATCGTGCTGTATTATGTTTTGGTACTTTGATAAAGTCATTTTGCCTAGTTGAGTACTGGTGATATTCAGAGTTTAAATGAAAAGTAGTTATATTGGCTTTTACATATAGTATACATTTACAAATATATAAAGAAGATACTGTCAAAATGTTGTATTTTTAAAATATTGTCAACATGAATGCCAGCCTGGTAAATTAAAAATTAACCGAATTATCCTTTTCTGAGAGACAAACACTCTTGTAGCATTCACAGCACTACCCCAAAGATTTATATTGAAATAAGCATTCAATAACTGTTCCATTTTAAGAAAACTTTTTAATTGCAATATTGCGTAATAACTACTATTTAATCTTTTACAAACATGATTAATTTGAGATTCCCAGCTCATGTTACTAAAAAGATACAAACCTAAAAGTTTAGTGGGCGTTGTAGAATGAACCAGGCTATCATTTACTTTTATAGAAAACTAGTAACTTATATTTGATCTATAGTAGAATTGCATGCTTGTGTTTTTTTAGCATTAACAATCAAAGCATTTTTTTATACCACTCTGTAAAATCTTCTGATATAACATTCAGTTGAACAGTTAATTCCTCGACACTTGAAGCAGATGTAACAATAGTTGTGTCATCTGCATACATAAATATCTTATTTGAACCGACATATCTGGGCATATCATTAACATAGCATAGGAATATTAATGGCTCCAATATTGAACCCTGAGGAATCCCAATATCAATATCACCATAATCTGATCGTAAGTCACTAAGTTAAACAAGGATTTTCCTAGAATGTAAATAAAATGACAGCCATAATCAGAACTGACCCCTAAAACCAAGATTTTTAACTTCTATATAGCAACTCTTACGTTTATGGTATCAAATGCTTTTGAGAGATCAAGGAAAGGTGCCCCCACAAAATCTCCCCGATCCAGTGCGATGTGAATGAAGTAATTCAATGGTAGCACCCTCTGTTGATCTTCCAGGCAGAAATCCGTGTTGGTTGGAACATAACAATATGTTGTATTTACTAAGGACTATATATTCTGTTGTATACACATTTTTCATAAATTTTGACCAAAATAGTAACTGGCCTGTAATTAACTAAAACTGAATTATTTTCACTTTTGAATATTGGAGTTACAACTCCTACCTTCAAGCTATGTGGCAAAAGACCCTATTAAACTGATAAATTTATTAAGTTGCAAGGGGTTGCGCTATATATTCACTAATACACTTTATTAATTTAGTTGATTAGCAATCAATACCTACTGAGGTAACATTTTTCAAGGAGCCAATAACCTCTCTGACATCATACTCATCTATAGGAAAAACATAAAAGGATTTATCTACATGTTGTGTGGTATAATAATCAAAATTGGTATTTTTAAAAATATTTATGATTTTATTTTTAGGGCAAGTAGTAAATTGCTCTACAAAAGCGTTTGCCATCTCATATTAATTAGTAATAATTTTATCAGTAAACTAGATTTTATCACAATTATTACGTTTTACCATCTTACCTATTTTTTTTTATTAACCGTACGCCATATAAACTTCTGCTTTTGCTGTATAGCATTCTTACATTCTAAACTATTTTGAAAAGAAACTCTTTTTTGTTTGACATATTGCTTCTTTTTTTCTTTATATTTTAAAAGAATGTCTATATTTTTAAAATTATTTGATAGCCAAAAAAGACTTCTCAAATCCTTTCCCTCGTGTATTATATCATTTGTTACCCAACTATTTTTAGACTAATTGCAAATTCTTTTTATAGTCATTGGATAAGATATCTGGCCAGACGTCTGGTCTTAAAATAATTCGCCAACGCACTTTAGTGCACGGCACTATAAGAAGAAGAAGGACAAGATATGTCAATATGGTACATCAGTATCTTTCAAAAATGTAATATTAGTAAATCTGTTCAAAGTATTGAGTGAAAAATCTGGAAAGCTTCGACAATGAATCCAAAGCAACAAGACGACCAAAATATTTCAGTAACAAGTCATCGACATAACCTTAACACTCTTTTAACGCCTTTTCAATACCTTTGGTTCTTTTCTGATTCTTTGTCTTTGCTTTTTTGAGGTTATTTTACTTTTTCACCGATTTATTGACCCTTTTGACGTGCTACTTAGATAGTACGTTACCTAGTACTACCTACTACTACGTGCTACCTAGATTTGGCTAGATAGTACGTTACTACAGGGCATTTTGACTTGACTGTCAACTATACCTAACGTCACAAGTGACAAAACAGCAACGAAAAAGCGCCAATAGCTTTAAAAAAGCGTCAAAAATTAGGAAAGGGTAGCAAAACATCAGTAATAAGTCTGCGACGTAAAGTTGACATATTTTTTTATGCTTTTTCGATTCTGTTGTCGACGTTTTGGCATTTTAAGTTTTATTCTCCGAGTGTCAACCCTAATTAGTAAAAGTAAAAGTATTCAAAATGACGAAAAATCGGCAAAATGACAGTAGTAGATCACAGACATGGCATTAACACACTTTACACCTTCCTGTCACTCGTTTTCGCTGCTTTGTACGTTTTTTAATACTTTATTAAATTAACATTTTTTTATGCTTATGCTTCTTTTCGATTCGCTGTGCTTTTTTAATCTTTTTGATGCTTTCTCATCGATTGTTCGACGTGTTTGTAGCTTGCGAAAGCAAAAAAATTAATAAAACAGTAAAATATATTGAAATCGCGTTACTTCAATACCGTAACACATTTCTCACGCATATTGGTTGTTTCTCATCTCAATTGATAATGATCCGGACTCGTAAAACTGAACCATTCATCAATTCAGAGTTACTGTAACCTAATTGATGTGAAATCTGCATCAGAGGCTGCAGCACAGGCATGTTACATATAATAAGTATTGCAATAACAGTTTCAAAGACTTATCCTTAACAAAGAAGTGTTATGGTATACAAACATGTCCAGAAGAAGTGGGAACCAAATTAAATAGTTATCTAACATAGAAAACCATCGTTTTCTAAGTTACACAATGTAATCACAAACGATCTTTTCGTCTCGAAAAGATCGTATGTGATTTTTGATGAAAATGGAAACAAACTGACGAAATAGAGTAGATTTTAATGAATCACTAAATGTATTCACACTGTCTTCTAAACATTATAATAAACAATGGAATCTGGTAAATTCTAAATCAAGCGACTAGCCCTAGAGTGAATTAAACATCTTGCCAGTCGGCAGAGAGCAACATAGAGATAATGTTGCTATCTTTTGGATTGTCTTTTGTGGAAAATTAAGTAGCAATTTTACATTTACACTTTTGTAAACGTAAAGATACGTTTATAGGATAAGATACGAGCTGATAAGAAAGATATGGTTGAATAAACAGCTACCAAAGGAGTGGAATAGCGGCATTATTGTACCACTACATAAAAAAGGAAACCAGTTAGAATGTGAAAACTACCGTGGAATCACGCTGTTGAATGCGGCATACAAAATAATGTCCAACGTAATGTATGAAAGACTTAGACCATACGCTGAAAAAATAGTTGGCAAATACCAATGTGGCTTCTATAGACAGAAGTCAACAATAGACCAGATATTTGTTCTGCGACAGATACTTGAAAAAACAAGTGAATATAACATCGACACACATCATCTCTTCATAGACTTCGAAAGCGCATATGACAATATAAACCGAGAATTCCTAATAAAAGCAATGAAAGAATTTAATATACCAACACAGCTAATAGAATTGATAAAAGAAACACTAAAAGTAGAAAGTAAAATCCGGATACAAAACGAATTAACGGAAACAATAGATGTGAAGAAGGGACTACGCCAAGGAGACGCTCTATCATGCATATTATTCAACATCATACTTGAAAAAATAATAAGAGACACAACAGTTAATACCCGAGGAACAATAATTAATAAAAGCGTGCAAGTACTAGCATTTGCAGATGATGTTGATATAATCGCAAGATCAAGAAGAGAAATGATAGAGGCATTCACTCAAATAGAACGAGCTGCAAAAAATAGTGGTCTTAAAATCAATCAGACAAAAACAAAATATATGCCTGCAAATAAAAACGCACAAATAAGGCAGCTGCCAAATTTAACAATAGGAGAATACAACATTGAGGCGGTAAAAAACTTTACATACTTAGGATCCCTAGTTACGTCTGATAACAACGTGCAGAGGAAGTGAAGAGGAGAATATTTATTGCCAATAAATGTTACCATGGCTTAATTAGGCAACTAAGATCAGATAACGTCTCCAGAAAAACAAAATGCCAAATATACAAAACCTTAATAAGACCGGTACTCACATACGGTTCAGAAACCTGGACACTCTCTAAAAGGGAGGAAACGTTATTAGTCACCTTTGAAAGAAAAATCTTGCGACACATATATAAGGGCACAAAAGAAAACGGGATTTGGCGGAGAAGGTATAACTTTGAACTATACAACATATACCAGGATCCGGATATCATAACATTCATTAAAATAGGAAGGCTACGTTGGATTGGACATGTGGAAAGAATGGAAGAAGGCGAAATACCAAACAAAATATTCAAACAAGTGCCAGTAGGAAAAAGAACAAGAGGAAGACCGAAGCTGAGATACGTAGAACAAATAGAAAATGATATAACAACATTAAAAATTAAAAACTGGAAAAAAAAAGCACGAAACAGGTCAGAATGGAGAAGAATCCTTGAACAGTGCACAAGACCCAAAAAGGGTTGTCGAGCCAGTGATGATGATGACTTTTGTAAACGACTTTTAATATTAATAGTATCAAATAAAGATTTTCCAAAAACTCTTACTCATGTAATGTCTTACCTTTCTTGCTAAATGTTTAAAGTCCTGGGTGTTGGTAATTCTTCCTTCTGTACAATCTGGCTTCCTGTAGACGTTTAAAGCATTTACAACAGTCGAAGCCATATTAACCTTGAAAGTCTCCTTGATTTTCTTCGCAGTCTCGCTATTAAAATCGGGCTTGTCTTTCAATTTAACCTTCACCGTCGTCTTCGGACGCTTCTCTCTGGTTTTCTTGATTTCTATTTCTCTTAATTGTTTTTTAGTTTGCTGTAGGATCTTCTCCCTTTGCCGTTTTAACCTCTCCTTATTTGCTTTGTACCTTTTGATGTCTTCTTTAAATTGTCGTTTGTCCTCCTCAGTTCTTGGCTGTAACAGTAATAAATTTATGTATCGAAATTAAGACGAAAGATAAACCCTCGGGAATAATTAATCATCATCATCTAAAAATATTGAAATCACTAGGGATATTGTCAAAAAAAGCCTAAAAGGCCTGAAAAATAAAACCGAAACATTATTCAATATGATAGTATACACATTTGATTTGTATATTAATGAACTTCTTGTCTCAAGAAAGAAACACTATCTGTATAACATCAATCTACAAAAAAACAACAAATAGCGATGTGAAAATGACAAAGACAATCCGTAACTAGTACAATCAGTAGATTGTATGGAAGAGTACTGAGAAACATTATATAAGAAGAAATTAATGGCAAAGAAGTAGAAGAACAAAGAATTTCGTATAAGAAGAACATGTAACCACAATATATTTTATCTGAAACAAATCGTTGAGAAAATCATTTGTAGACTTACTCAAAGCATATGAGAAAATAGCACCAGTGAAATTCTTGGAAGTCTTAAAAGATATATCACATTCTTATTACCACTCTACAAAATCAGGGATGAATACTCAGCAAATAAAGGCTTGATACAAGCATGTTGTATATTGCCAACATTCTTCAAAATCTATAATACTACAGCTCTGTAACAGCGAAAAAGAAAAACTCAAGAAGTGATAATGCAAAACACGACCTATTACACTTTGTAGTTTTCCGATGACCAAGAAGTTACATCAAATGATAAGGAAACATGGAGTACATGTTGCTCCAGTTAATTGAAGAGTGCGAAATCTAGGATTGAAAGGTCAAAATCTAAAAGATCAAACATCTATGTATCCTAGTAAATAGTAATAAGAAATAACTTCTTCTTTGTCTTTCAACAGCCTTGACTGTCCACTCCACGACGTAAGCCTCCCTTTAGTGTTGCACTATAATTTGTCTTTACAGTGCACTTTTAGAACGTGACCCACAATTCTCTTATGTACTCTAGGTATTTATTGTACGATGCGTTTAGTCCACCTGGTACCATCTTCTGGCAACATGCCCTACCACTTCAATGCAGCGGCGTGTTGAGTTGCATCCTCTACCCTTGTTTTTCTACGCATTTCTTTAACGATGACGTGATCTTATAACGTTATTCCCACCATAAGTCGTTCCAATGCGCGCTGTATAACTTTTATTATGTTGGCGACTTTTATGTTGTCAACGTAATTGTCTCTAGACTATATGTCAACACTGGAAGGACGCAAAATGTCGGTGAAATGCAATTTGGATTCCGCAATTCCATTGGTACACGTGATGCACTTTTCACCTTACACGTCCTACTTCAGAGATGCCGCGATGTGAGTTATGATGTCTACATTTGTTTTATTGACAAAGCCAAGGCATTTGACTGTTGTCAGCACCAGAAGGTGGTCGACGCCCTACAAAGAGTAGGATTGAATGAGAAGGACATTCGGATCATCATGAATTTTTACTGGAACCAGCGTGCTCAAGTCAAGGTCGAAGACCAGCTGACCGATCAAGTGAATATCATGCAAGGAGTAAGGCAAGGCTGTGTGCCGACTCTTTTCAATATATACTCTGAGGACATTTTTACTGAAGCCCTCACAAAGCTAGAGATGGGAATCCGAGTGAACGGTGAATACATCAATAACACAGCATCATCAATCACTAGCAACCAGCCTAAATGATCTACAAGCCTTACTAGACCGAGTGAGAACTGTGAAAGCGGATTGAAGCCTTCGAGATGTGGATCTACAGGAGGATACTAAAAATATCGTATATGGATCATGTTACTAACGTTGAGGTCCTACAGCGCTAGTGAAACAACGTAGGCTTGAGTACCTCGGCCACGTGATGCGGAACTAAGAAAAATATAGAATTCTTTAACTCGTTATGTAGGGCAAAATATTTGGCAGGAGAGGACCGAGACGCTGAAGAAGAAGAAGAAGAAGAAGGAAGGATGCAAGAATCGAAAACCTTGAGACTTATGGGAATATAATTGTTCTTGAGGACAATTCTAAATTTGCCAACAGCAGCCCATGTCAAATGGATTCTTCGGTCTACTTCAGCGTGATGAATTCGTCCAAGTTTATTAGATGACCCAAGTAGATATATTCTCCCACTCTTTCTATTACTAACCCCCATTCTCCCACAATAACTGGTACTACTAAGTAGATTTAACAATTTAAAAATACTACAAAAACGAAATAAACTGTGCTTCTATCTATATTAATGTGCTACCATGTCAACAATAAAAATCCGTTTCAAAATTAAATTAGATGTTAACAAAATTAAAATCCAGCATTTTATTAAAGTATAAGGTTATGGTATGTGGTTCTTTAATTAATAATGGATCCTTTATTTGGTACATTACAAGAATGTTTGATCGCAACCTTTATGTTATTTATTCTGCTGATGCTAACTAAACAATCACGTCAAGCAGTGAACTTAGATCATTGCTGCATCGCCTTTGATAATGTTTGTCTCAATTGTGGACAAAATGCCAACAAGAAACAGTTCCATACAACGGCATATCATCTTGGAATCCAATATACCGTTGAATTATCTGATCATACTTATCTTACGTATCTTACTGGTCGTTTTTCTGGTCTACAAATGACCCAAACCTTAGCATCAACTGAATTTACATACCTTCTCACCAAATTTGATCCCAGGTGGTGTGCTAGATGAGTGGGCCGTTATCGGCTTCTGCCGCATGACAAAAAAGAAAATTGTGAAGTCATTATCAGTAGTACATAAATAGAGGATCGATCAAGGAAAAATATATGACGAATACGCAAGAAATGAGCCGTATTATGAGAACTGAGAGGATATATGGCTTGTTACAATTCGTTCTTCAGGACAAGGTATATAGAAAAAGAGGACAATGGAGAAAAGAAGAATTTCTTGCCTCCAGAACCAGAATGGTATAATTATTTACTTCTTATTTGGCCGTATTATCTTTTGTTTATGACATATAATAAATACAATTAATAAATAAAATAATAGTCATTCTTTATATCTAAACTACAAAGAATGTCCATTATGTAGATGATAAGTACATCTAAGAATATTTTAATACCCATAATTAGATAAACATACAAATATTTTTACTACACCAAACTTTCTACATTTTTGCCTTTGTCGGGTACTAACATTCTAAAATTACCAATGTATATACTCTACGAATTATGAATTGACCAGCTATATTTAAGTAACTTGCTCTATATGTAATATGTTTTCTTGGTGGCAAAAGTTTGATAAAATGGACATAATTATAAATTTGTGCTACAAAAAGCAAAAACATTCAGATGCTGATATATGGTGTTTGTTACATCAGTATAAAGCCTTTATATTTTAATCCATTAAGTGTCAGTGGTAGTTATACTTACCGTTGTTGAAAAAAGTTATTTTTCTAACCTTTTTTGTGCAAGCACAAACAGTACTGATGTGAAGGATCTCTGGTGAAATTAGACATCACTAGACTTGCGTATGCTTGCACAAATGAAGGTGGTTTAGCGGTAAAGATAGCTACCAGTAAGAATAATTTGTGTAAGATACTTTACTGCTGTTGTTGATATAGGAAGTTATTCTAGTTTTTCGTTAGTTTATTCATTCAAATATTGGAGAGTAAAAAGGGTAGTTGTGTAAAATATAGCGTGAAAAACGTTTTGCCATAATACAGACTAAGTATTGATTTCTAAAAGTCTAAAAGTTATTTCAATCTATTCAACATTGCCAACATACCTTACGTATTTTTTACAAACCTGACAATTATTTTCTATGAATAAAAAAATAAATGGAGGAATTGCATGATGTAAGAATGATATTATATCTTCTAGTCTTTCATATAAAAATGAGATGTTTTCCGTTTTTGCGAAACTTTTTTTTTTTGTGAATAATGAGAGAAACTGTTTTTTCAGTGAGCGAAAATACGATGGCAACTGCCTCTTACTGCAAGATAACTGGAACAGTTTGTAAAAACCTGGATGGTCCTATGATGATAATAATTGATGAATTCGACCGTTACTTGATGGAAATTCATTTTATGTAACTATAAAACACTGAAAACTTTGTTTTCAAACTTCCACAAAATTTATTTTAATCTCCTATCACTACAGATGTTTCGGCTGATTGCCTTTCTCAAGTGATCTATTTTTGGCATGCGTTTACACTTTATAGTCTCTAATGAAATAGGTTGAGGAGAGGAGAACTGTTTGTCTCAAGTTGGTCATAAGTTTATGTAGGAGGGATACTAGGAAAAAGATTTTTTACGTCAAATGAAATTAATCTAGAATTATTAGGTAATTGAAAATGTTGTATTTTATTAACTAGTTCTATTGTATTTTTTATGGTAAATTTAGGTGAAAATTTAGTAGATTCTAAAATAATGTCTAACAGTTTTTTTGAAAACTTATATATGATGGAGCTGTATAAAAAGAAACTACAGGTCTTATTGGGTGATCCGGTTTGTGTAGTTTAATGAAAGAGTATAATTTAGGAGGCTGTGGGTTCATGATATTGAGGTATTTCTGTTCTATTGGATTTACTGTTGATTTTCAATTTTCTAATGCTAGCTTAATTTGTTTTTGATATTTTTCTGTCGCAAGTCAAGATCCCTTGAATATGTTCAATATTGAAAACAAAAATATCAAAAAGCACTTAAACGTGTTTTATATTATCTTAGTATTGTTCTGAAGCTATTTTCTTGTGGCATTGTAAATTAATTACTATTTATAACTGGGAATAAGCCACAATTAAAGATAAAAATACGTTTATTGACGTTTCAATTTCCAATTCGGAAATCGTTCTCAAAATACAAAAAGTAAATTAAACAAATTTTGTTTTTTTGTTACATAGTGAAAAAATTCTTCTAATAATTTAATTTTATCTGACTCATTTATATTGACAATTCAGACATACATTATGCATTTTAAAGTAGACGACTTTAAAATGATATTGCCAATATTGTTGAGTTGCGCTCCTGGGACGACTTTACTTATAAGATAGTTCATTCGATTACATGAAATCAACTTTAACTTGAGAATATCCGTCAGAAAAAATCATAGCATGTAATTCGTCTTTAAAAAGACAAACACATGACATGATGACAGTAAAATTCTCCTGTTAGTGATTCCATAGTAAATTATGAGGGAAAAACCAGGAAAAAAACCTCATAATACTATCCCGACATTGTAAGTATTTGTTCGTGAATTTAGTTTACCTTCAACAAACATCAAAATTCTGATTTTATATGTTACGTTATTTAAAAAACATAAATGATGTATCCTCTATATGTTACTGACTTACTAATACTGGTATTTTCTTATTAATAACTTCCTCTTTCAATATTGGTAACCAGATCCTACTACATTCTGCCGAGGAATTTGCGACACAATTGGCCTCATTTAGCATAATTAGAGCCGCTTCTTTGATTTTTCTTTTTTTACCATCCGTTTCTTTTAGGACTATATTTGAATTATTCCATTGAACTCTATGTTCATTATCCATGCGTGTTTACATATTTGAGATCTATCAAATTCTCTATTTTTAATATAAGATTGATGTTCACTTATTCTAACATTTAATGGCCTTGATGATTCACATTCTTTGTCCTTTCTTGTTCATTGTTAGGTTTGGTTTTGGACAAAATAGATCTCAACGTGTTTGTTGTTTTGAATGTTGTTGAAATGTTGAATTTATTTCCTATCCTTTTAAGTTTTTCTGATAATCCTTTTATGTACGGTATTGTTATTTTCCTCATATTATTCCTTGTGTATGCTGTAGGATCTCGTTCTAAGTTGTTCTGTTCTATTCGATCGAATAGAATTCTTAGAATAGAATTATCTAAAATAAGGAATTTTCAACAATCGATCGAATAGAACAGAACAACTTAGAACGAGATCCTACAGCATACACAAGGAATAATATGAGGAAAATAACAATACCGTACAAAAAAGGATTATCAGAAAAACTTAAAAGGATAGGAAATAAATTCAACATTTCAACAACATTCAAAACAACAAACACGTTGAGATCTATTTTGTCCAAAACCAAACCTAACAATGAACAAGAAAGGACAAAGAATTGCATTTATAAAATACCTTGTGAATGCGATCAGTTTTATTTAGGTGAAACATCAAGGCCATTAAATGTTAGAATAAGTGAACATCAATCTTATATTAAAAATAGAGAATTTGATAGATCTCAAATATGTAAACACGCATGGGATAATGAACATAGAGTTCAATGGAATAATTCAAATATAGTCCTAAAAGAAACGGATGGTAAAAAAAGAAAAAATCAAAGAAGCGGCTCTAATTATGCTAAATGAGGCCAATTGTGTCGCAAATTCCTCGGCAGAATGTAGTAGGATCTGGTTACCAATATTGAAAGAGGAAGTTATTAATAAGAAAATACCAGTATTAGTAAGTCAGTAACATATAGAGGATACATCATTTATGTTTTTTAAATAACGTAACATATAAAATCAGAATTTTGATGTTTGTTGAAGGTAAACTAAATTCACGAACAAATACTTACAATGTCGGGATAGTATTATGAGGTTTTTTTCCTGGTTTTTGCCTCATAATTTACTATGGAATCACTAACAGGAGAATTTTACTGTCATCATGTCATGTGTTTGTCTTTTTAAAGACGAATTACATGCTATGATTTTTTCTGACGGATATTCTCAAGTTAAAGTTGATTTCATGTAATCGAATGAACTATCTTATAAGTAAAGTCGTCCCAGGAGCGCAACTCAACAATATTGGCAATATCATTTTAAAGTCGTCTACTTTAAAATGCATAATGTATGTCTGAATTGTCAATATAAATGAGTCAGATAAAATTAAATTATTAGAAGAATTTTTTCACTATGTAACAAAAAAACAAAATTTGTTTAATTTACTATTTGTATTTTGAGAACTATTTCCGAATTGGAAATTGAAACGTCAATAAACGTATTTTTATCTTTAATTGTGGCTTATTCCCAGTTATAAATAGTAATTAATATTATCTTAGGTTAGATCATCTATATTTATTTTGAATTGCTTGTGTGGGAGAGATCAATCACCCCCGGATTATCTCAATTACGACTTTTTTTCGATTTCTTGTTATTATATCTCAGGTTGTTAATTATTAAAATGAAGAAGATACTTACACTAATCATAATCTCTTCGCACAATCCAGTTCTTCGTTTTTTTCTCGAAGGATGATCATCTTTAAACAGTTCAAGTTCTTTCAGTCTCATGTCTATCGAAGGTCTTTTCACGTCGTCATCCACCGCCAAACTCCTGCGTATTATTTCATCGACGTTGAACTCTCTTTCGTAGGACTTTTCGCCATCCGGACTCGGAGTTCCTTGTGGACTGTCGTCCTGATGCAAACCAGGGAGTTTTATCTGCGGTAGATGTTCCATTTGTTTGCGAACTTCTAACAACAATTTCGCATCGTCCACTTCATCGTCGCTTTCAGAATTTTCCGAGCTGGAATCCGAACTAACCGAACTTGTGTCTGAACTGGAGTCCGAGTCTGAGGCTGAAAGTGAAATAAACCTGACGTTTTAGTTGCAAGTTTAATTAAACAGTAACACACAAGATTATAAACAAAAGTTTATATCTGTGCGTAGTATCGAAATAAGCTGTACACAGACACAATTGAGGTTGCTCGAACGACTAGTATATAGGGACATGTAATTTTTACCTAAATACTGCGTTTATTTAATTTCGGTTAGTAAGTAGGATGACAATAAATGTTTCTCCTTATATACTATTTCACATGCATGTCTAATATGTTTTTCCTATTATGTAATATATTATACTATTATACTATATAAAAAAGACCGGATTTGTGGAAAAACAACTCATGGCTTTTGCATTTCGATAATGCACCAGCTCACACTTCATTGTTTTTGTGAATTTTTGTTCAAAAACAATACTGTAATGATGTCCCAGCCTCCATATTCGCCAGACATGGCTCCGTGTGACTTTTTCCTATTTTCAAAAATAAAGAAAACCCTAAAGTGCCATCGTTTCACAAGCACAGATGACATTAAAAGCGCATCGCTGATAGAACTAAAGACTATCCCACAGATTTTCCCAAAGATCAAGTTTGAGAAATATTTCAATGATTAGCAGAAGCATTGGCACATCATAATATCTGATGGAGACTACCTTGAAGAAGATTGTATTTTTTGAACACACATCGTATATATTTTTAATTACTTTGTGAAGAAATTTTAGTTGTCTCCAGCTTTGATTAATTCCACGACATAATATTTTATTAGTTTGCTTTTTCTGTCCAGCTGTAGACTTTTTAAATGTTATTTGTTCTCTGACTATAATATGGACTGTCTTATAGTCAATATTATCCTGATCTATTCTATTGACAACCTGATAATTTATCCTTTTGTCTTTCATTCGACCTACATCAATTGATTTCTATTGTTTATTCTTATTCTTTTAACACTTCAGCTTGTCGTTACTTTTTCATCAAAAGTACTTAGATCAAGTACTTTATCAAAGATTACTTTGATATTTTAATTATTATCTATTTTAATATGCCTGAGACTACTCTGAGGCCATTTGACTGAATACTGAGGCCATTTTTAATGTCAGAAAATGTGAATAATTGATAAAGCATCAAGAAAACTTTTACCTTTTGGATCTGCAAAACCTAGAAAAAGACAAAACGCTTTGAAATTATACTACAAATACAAAAGATTTTAATAACTTACACTCCACAGCTTCTTCGGGTGGATCCAGGGGCGGAGGCTCCCACTGACTTTTCCTGATCTTGATGTGATAATAGTACGGTCGGCCATACTTGTCTTTGGCGCACTTCCATTTCGGTGGTAATTTCACGGGTGGAGGGATAGGTCCGGCGAATTTAACTTGAGATGGATCCTCTTCAATTGACTGAACGATCGGTGGTAGCTAAGTAACGACACAAACAAATTTATTGCCAAGATGTAATAATAGTAACATAAACATTTAACATACTGAACATTTACTTACTTGTGGCAGCGGTGGCAAGGTCGTCGTTGGCAAAGGTGGCATACCCGCGGGTAACGGCGGTAGCTGTGTTGGCAATGAAGTTTGCGGTAATGGTATATGACTTTGAATTTGATTCAGTGGCATCGTTGGCTGTTGTAGAGGTAAATGGCTTGGCAGTGTATTCGGCGGCAACTGATGTGGAGGCAACTGTAAAGGAATCTGCTGTAACGGCGGTTGATTGTTTCCCATGTTGACCGGATTTCCTTGCGGAGAGGGGTATGGAGAATATGTCGGTAATGTTTTTCCGTATGGGTGAACTGATGGCGGTGGGACGTGCATTGCTGGCATCTGCGGCGGAGGTGGTTGTGTTGGATATATCCGAAGATTTGTTGGTATTGGACAGTTTTGCCACTGACCTAAAATAGATTAATTAATCCTGAAAACAATGTATACAGTGTACTCACGAACTAAAGCCCATATCGATTGAAACCGTTTCTAGTTAAAAGTAGTTAAAACCGTATAAATAATAAATATACAGGGTGAAGCAATACTTGTGAAACTTTGTTTGCCAAAGTTTCACCTCAAACCTCACCGCCAAAACCTCATTAAATTTTACATCATGTAAAATTTAATGAGGTTTTGTTAAACTACTGTTGAACTATAAATTTGTTAAAAATGTCAATAAGGTAAATGTTCAAAGTGGGTTCCGTTGTTTTGTAAACAATAATACAGCCTATTTTCGAATTCTGCACGAACTTTGGCAAATGTTGCTCTAGTACCAGCGCGACATGCTTGCGTAATTCTTTCTCGCCATTCCCCAAATGACGCAGGTTGAGTTTTATAAACAACTGACTTGACCCAGTTTGAGTTTTTATAAACCCATAGAAAAAAGTCAGGTGGCGGCAAGTCTGGTGGCCTCGGTGGTCACTCAATAGGACCTCTTCTAATCCATTTGTTTGGATAATTAGTATCCAACCAGTGCCTAACTGGAACTGCATAGTTTCCAGCATATCGAGATAAATGTCGCTGATAAATGAGCCGTTGGACGCCAGAGTGATCTAAGTCAGAAATGCTGGTGTTCTAGAAACAATGACTTAAAGTTAACACGTTGGCGTTAAATGGGAAATTAGAGACTGACTATGATCAGAAAGATTTTCAATAAAAAAGCTTAAACTTAAACAATTTCAGCGGAACACTGTGTTCGCGTTTGAAATTTATTTATTTTTTGTTAATATTTTGACTGGTTTTCAATATATACAATATTTTTAAAGAAAAAAAGTAGAAATACAAACGATCGTGTATTTCTTTGTATGGAATACAAATTAAATTCTTATTCATAAAATCATATGGATAGATTTTTGAAAAAGTCGTGATGAATGGGCTAAATTATGGGAAACGCCAAAAGATCTTCCATATCCTTCTTTTTCTTAGTAGTAACTGGTATTGGAGCTTCAAACAGTTGTAAAAATTGGCAATACAAATGAGAATGTGAATTTTCCATATACACAGTTCATTTCTCGATTTTTCGATTGTTTACCTGATTTCTCGAATTTTATTCCATGGGTATATAAAGAGAGTTATTTTTATGTGGTTTTACGTAAAAATTTAGTCATATTTCTGGATTTTTTGATTGCTTACCTGAATTGTCAAGAATTTTATTACATGGCTATATAAAAAGGGGTTATTTTTATAGGGTTTTAGTAGTAAAAATTATTATGTAGACTGTAATAAAGTAGTAAATAAATAGTGTAAATAAATCAAACACTTTCTAGCAAATCAATGGAACTTAATTCATTGATTGATTCAGTTCCACTGCTCTTAAGCTAGGTGTTTGACTTTGTGTACACATTTGTTTCATTATAACATATTCATACTACTTACAAACATTACAATCTAGCTCTAGAACTAAAAGCACTGAAAGAGCAACGATTTAAACTTTAAAATTTACCTATCTGTGGATTCCATATCAACTGATATCCCCTGTTAGGATCGAACGGTGCTGTGAATCTGGGATCAGCTCCTATCATCATACAGTTCATTTCATGTTCCCTCCACATTTCTCGTTGTTTCAGTTTCCGTTCTTCTTCTTTTATCTCGTGTTGTAACGCGAACAGCTTTCTTCGTTCCGACTTACTTAATTTTAGATATTCTGCGCTTGGTTTATCGCCCGGTTTTGGTGGTTTCTTGTGTAAATCTCTTTCGAATTTATTTTTTGAAAGTCCTCGATATCTGATAAAAAAAAGGTAAATGGTAATAAAAATATAGAAAAGAATGTATTGTTTATGTTCAGTTTTAATGTACACTATCGACATGTCGGTAGAAATACTACACAACACTTAGTAGCGATTTAAGAGAGGATTTTGAACAAAATACTGGAGCTGGTTCCAAGAAAAAATAGGAAGCCTACGTTGGCAAAACCACAGAGGTGTAGCTAAAAATCATACTGCCATTGCTGCAGCCTCAGAATAATACCTCAATTAGACTCGAATAGAACAGTAACTTTCCTCATTTCCTCAACTTTGTGATTTATTTTTCTGATAGTCTCAGCAACTCCATCGCCCAGATGGTACTATGGTTAGATGTACAAAATGATAATCTCGATATAAAGAATTGGAGAACTCCAAGCAGAGTCGACAAAGGCCTTATGGTAGAACTGGTCCTCTGAGTGAAGCTTACATCCGCAGAGACGTCAAACGAACTCTTTGAAAACTATAATATATCTTTCAACAATGTTTATGAAGACAGTAGATTTAAAGCTTCTTCTTCGCGTGCCATATCAGAATTATCCGACGTTGGCAATCACCATTGCGAAGGCTTCTCGATCTTCTGCAATATGGAACAATAATTGTTCTGCATTTGATATCTCGAGTCCATTCACGAATGTTTTTTAACCAAGTAACTTGTTTTCTTCCTAGACCTCTACGGCCCTCTATTTTGCCTTTAAGGATCAGTTGTAATATTTTATATCGACTTCCCCTTACTATATGTCCCAGATAAGACATTTTTCGATGTTTAACAGTCTTTAACAGTTTTCTATCTGTGTTGACGCTCCTTAGTACTTTTCCATTAGTTTCCCTTGCTGTCCAAGATATCTTCAGCATTCGTCTATGAACCCACACTTCCAATGCTTCAATTTTGTTCATGATCGATACTTTTAGCGGCCACACTTCTGTACTATACAAAAGTACCGACCAAACATTGCACTTAACCATTCTTTGTCTTAGTTCTAAACTGAGATGATTATTGCAAATAAATAACTTTATTTTCATAAAAGTAGTTATAGTCATTGCTATTCTACGTTTTATTTCTATATCTGGATCTAGTTAGTCCGTTATCACAGTTCCCAAATATGTCATTTTGGGAACTTTCTCAACTTGGACTCCGTTTAATTGAAGCTTTGCATCGGAATGTGGGTCATGACTAAACACTAAAAATTTGGTTTATTGGTTTATTTTAATGCACATTTCTCTCCTACCTCGTGAATACGATCAAGCAGAATTTGGAGACCTTCAATATTATCTGACAGAATTACTGTATCGTCTGCATATCTAATCACATTAAGTAGTTCCCCGTTGATTTTTATTCCATATAATTGTCTCTCAAGTGCCTTTTTAAATAACTGGTCCGAGTAAACATTGAACAATATTGGCGACAAAATGCAACCTTGTCTGACTCCTCGTTGTATGGAGATTTCATCGGTGTAGCTATCTCCAATTTTTACGATAGCAGTTTGATTCCAGTACAAATTTTTAATGACACGAATATCCTTGTTATCTATTCCGATATTTTTCAGTATTTGCATTAATTTTACATGCTGTACTTTATCGAATGCCTTTTCGAAGTCCACGAAACATCCAAATACATCTTACTCATTTCTTTTAGTTTTTTGTGCACATTAAATATGTCGTGTTTATATATTACATCATCTATTTCGTCGCACCTTTCTCCCATCCATTTTTCTTTTGCTAATTTGATCTCCCTTTTTATTCTTCTCTGCAGGTGTCTATATTCTGTTTCATTAGATTTTGTCAGTCGACGTTGTTCCAATAATTTTAAGATGTCGTCTGTCATCCATTTATTTTTCTTGATTAAGTTTTTTCTATAATCATTGCTTGTGGAGATTTCGTTAACTTGGTTTTTAAATTCACTCCATAGTTCTTCTGGATCTTCTAGTTGTTCTCCGATGTTCTTTATTCTATTGTTAAATTATTGTTTAATGTTATGTTTTATGTTAATAGCGTCAAAGTTAACTACATTGGTTTTTGGTTTTTGTCGCTGAATTCGTTTCAACCTCATTTACAAGTATATAGTCTATCTAATTTCTTGAGGACTCAGGGTTATAGCCATCATCAAATGGAGCATTCCAAGTGTATAGTCGTCGCTTGAGTAGTTTATACCAGGTGTTTGCAATGATCATATCATTTTGTTTACAAAATTCATACAATCTCTGTCCTCGATCTTTAGGTTATCCTAGACCATAAAGACCTACAGTAGATTTGAAGCTACAACAATTATAAGTACATAAAACTACTTAGCCACACAATGAAAATCTAGGAAACAACAATTGATAGATGGATGACATAAAGATATCAGAAAATCTGTTGAATTTATGCAAGGAAAAGGAAAAGTAGAATGAATTTAATAAAATTTTAGAAAATAACTTTTAGAATACCTAGGAATAAATAGTTTATATAAAAATGATATTGCTATTGATTTTAAATGGCGTCAGGTGTGGGGTTTTAGATAGGATGAATAGAACAATGGACCAACATCCTTCCAAAGTTGAATAGGAACATCAAATACAATGGGATCAGTACATTCATTTTGTCTTGGTGATCTACCGATCAACTGTTAATGAAATTTGTGGCCAAGCCCACGCTTATTTGATGTTGAGTCGTAAAGTTCCGCTGCCAGCTGTAAAAATTCCGAAGAATACACCGCACAGAAAGAATATATCGACTAAATGAAGTTACATTCATAATTGACGCAACATGCATCACTTTGTATAGAACATCCCAGAGGTACTTTTCTGTGCGTCACAGTTTTTCGATTTCGTTCTAATGCATTAACTTGGATGTGACGGAAAAAGCGGTAGTTCGGTGATTTAACAGAACTATATTGCAGCGTTAGAATAAGCTTACATACATAAGAGGTTCTTTCCTAACCTACGTTTGATTCGTTGATATTTAGATGCGCGCTTTCTCTAGTCAATCAAATACGCCTATCACTGACAGTAGACGTAAAATTTCGTCCATGCTGGCCATTCTTCGAAGTGTTCCAACAGCAAGTGACGGCTGTCGTTCAGGTCAGTATTTGCAAAGAATATAGACGCTATATAATATATTTATTAAAACAGACTTTTTTGTGTTACTTATACTATGGCCAAAAAACAGTAGTGAGAATAGAAGATATAACATCAGAAGAAATAGAAGTACAAAGAGTTGTTCGACAAGGGTGTATACATAAACCAGTATTATTTAATATGTATACTCGGAAGAGATATTAAGTAAGGCAATGGATTAACGAAACGTAGACATTTGAATTAATGACATGATCATAAATAACCTGAGATACGCCGATGATACAGTTCTTTTAACCGAATCACATGAAGACCTACAGATACTTCTTAATTAGGTGACCGCAGTAAGCGAAGAAGAATATGGACCATCACTCAACAGAGCAGGAAGTATATGATAATAACAAAGACAACAGGTCACTGAAGAAAATTCACGTAAGGAGACTGAAGGCATTCGAGATGTGGATGTACCGAAGAGTACTAGATATCTCATGGGTAGATGGAATAACCAACGTTGAGGTAATGTGACGTATGCATAAGGAAAGAGAAGTACTAACAATTAAGATGACTAAAGTGGGATATATGGGTCATGTGATAAGAGGAGATAAATATCTAACATTCCAGGTCATTATGCAAGGAAAAATTAGGAGAAAAAGATCCGTAGGAAGGAGACGTAACTCATGTAATAACGACTTATTTAGAGCCGCTGTCTCAAAATTAAAAATCGCTGTGATGATTGCCAACTTACGACGCACAGACAGCCCCTTGAGAAGAAGATACAAAAATTCAATAAATGAATCATTTTGTCGTCAATTTCAAATTTTTCCATATTTAGAAATTGAATAAACAATATTGTTTACTTTTTATTTTTATTAATATACGGGATTACCCCTGTGGCTAAGTACGATCCTGGCATCTGTCAGATTCTTCAATAATTATATGCAATAATAATTCTCGACACACCTAATTCATTCTATGACGTCATAATTAATGACGCACTGAAAAGTACCTCTGGGATGTACTTTACAACAACATATTCGGATTGACAGTGATAGGATGAAAGTTCAATATAATTCTCGATCCACGAATGGAAGCTTCGAAGTAGGAGATGGCTCAAATGATACAGAGGAAGGAAAAACTTTTCAACGACATCAAAACACAATAACCGACAACTGAGTTTCAACGAATTTATGTCAAATTATGCAGACAGAAGATTTGGAGTGAACATCGAAATACAGAAAGATCTTTATTCCGGATGGTATCTCTATATAGCTGTTTGTGTCGCTCAAGACTTCAATATGACCAAACCAATCTCGTAAGTATTTAACAAAAAGTTCGGATATGTGGATGACTGGAAAAATTAGCAGACTAAAGGTGGTACATTGCTGCGAAGTTGGAAATCGATCGTTCTTCAGAGGTTTTCTACTGAAAGAACAAGCTACAAGAACATATAACTTACCAATGTGTAATTATGGCATAAAAAAACTGGCTTATACACGCCATAGGTTAGAAAACTTGGAATAAACCATAGTGACCTTAAAAGGCCACTAGATTGTTACTTCTTGCTCAAAAGTTTGTCCAGAGCTAGAAACACCTGTCGCTTTCGCCACCAAAAGCATCTGCCTATAACTTCTGATTGGCCTGGTCAGTACTAAAAGAGGACAGTATAGCGAAGCGCCTATACTAACGGAATTGCAGCCGAGTAAGTACGAGAAACTCAGAGAATGATTCAACTCGTCCGCAAGAACTATGCGAATACCCTAAGAGCTTGAGGTTATTGTACGAAACATAAATAAGAACACTGATTTAATTGTGTCAACCTGAAAATATATTTAAGAAGTAATTGGACAAATAAATAAAAGTTGTATACGGATAGTGTATATAAAATGGACCCAGTGTTTGATTTTAACGTTACAATATTGATTTTATACGACAATAAAAGATGAAAAAAGTTATTAAAACACCACAAAATAATAACACAATGAATATTTAATAACTAGTCACATACCTATCGGCTTTCCTGTCTTTATCTTCGTCACCACCATAAGTGTTATGGCTGGTCTGCATATATTTCTTATTAGCTTCCCTTTCGTGCTCTTTCATTTGCTCTATACGTTCTTTTTTCGGAATCCTAAAAACTTCTTTCAGATTCTTCCACTCCTCCAAGAGTTTGCTGGCTAAGAATTTTATTTCTTCTTCTTGGTCTTGGATCGTCTTGTCTGAAACCAATTCATCTTTCACCGGCACTTTAATTTCTTGTTTTATGCTAGATTTTGGCATGTCCGTTTCGGTTTTCGGTGAGTTGCTTTCGGAATCGAGCGGTGAAGTTAAAGTTTTACTGGTGGCCCATTTTTCTACAGTAGAAATAACTTTGCTGTCTTGAAGCATCGATTTATTAGGGATGGGTAGTACTGCTAGTGTTTGAAGCATTTCCAATCTGAAAAAACAACAAATACATTGTTATAAACTAGTTTAACCATGATAATTAAGTCAAACCTACCTCAATGATTCAAATTGTTTATTTGATATTACCAACTGCTGAGCATCGATCATATATCCGTGCATTAGACGAAGACCGTGATAATCCAAAAACAACCTCCTACAAGGTAGTTCTCCTCTTCGTAAAACACGTAAGAGTTTTGCTCTTTGTTGAGGTTCTTTAGATCTCACCATCAATCTGCTCAGTTTGAGAGTATGAGCTTGATTTTTCAATCCAGTGGTAACCAACATCTCTATTTCTTCATTTAAGTGCTAAAAAAACAAATATATAATATTTAGACATACGTTTCCAGATAGTACTTACGTCTACTTCTTCAAACATTTCAATTCTCGGTTTCTTCTTCTGGAGTTTTTTCTTGACAGGTTTAGGCTTGATCTCTGTAACTTGTTGAGGAGTTTCCTGTATACTGACATCTTTATCCTTCGTAATTTCCGGAACACCTTCCACTTTCTCTTCGTCTTTAACTTCTGCTGGAACTATAGAGCCAATAAATAAGACAATATAAATCACTTATAGCACTAAAAAGCACAAACCTACCAATTTTAGGCAATTTCAATGCAATAAAATCACCTCTTGTACATAAGGAAAATGCATTTCCAAAGTGCATAGTAAATAAAAAAATTGCAACTCAGAAAATATCAATAGGAATGAGTTCAATTTTGTTACGCGGGAATTTTCGACGTCTCTGACTATGAATAAAATAACGACGATGGTCCTCCAGCTACCTGGTGCCCAGGGTGGACCCCGTCTCCTGGAATTTCATATTAATTTCATTCTAAATCAGTCAACAGCTATTACTCAGGGGATTTTCGAGGTAGTTGAACACGAATATGATAACGATGGTCCTCTAGCTACCTGGAGCCCAAAGTTGACGTCATCTCCTGATGTTTCATGTTAATTTCGTTCTAAATCAGTCTAAATCGTCAGTTATTACGGGGGGTGCTGAACACGAATATTTCGATAATAAATGACCTCAGACTACCTCGTGCAACTTAACCCTTAGTTGACGAACAATACTCCAAAGTACCACTTATTTACAAATGTCTAAAACATGTCTTTATATTTATCTTGAATTTTTCCTGTAGGTATCTTGCAGTACATTTTAGAGAATAATATACGTTAATTTCAATCAACAGGTAACAATTTTTTAGCGCGAAAATACTGACCATATTAGTACACAACCTAACTACGGCGTTGTGATTTGTTTTCTGTAACAAGTGTGCCAATGAATTAGAAATTAACTTTGAAAAATTAAAAGCAAATATCGAGCACAATTTTAATAATAAAATCTTGCCCAAGTACTTTCGCTTTCTACAGCATCATCAGGGGCATTTCGTCAAATTTGGGCTTTACAGCAAGCGCAGTAATAAACATGAAAATTAAACATAAATTATACATAACACTACACTAAAACAAGGACAGTTTAAAATTATTTAAAAATTATTCTACTATATGCAGAAGGGAACACGATTTTTTAGATGCTTATTGACACGCCTGCGCATCATTCTGATGAGGTGGTCGATATCATGATGAGATCTCATTCCAGGCTACTGCAACTTTGTGAATAAGAGTCGCTAAGACCAGGTAGCTCGAGGACCATTGCCGTCATAATATTCGTGTTCAGCGACTCTACAACCCCCAAGTAAAGACTTTCGACTGATTTAAAATGAAAATAACATAACACTCCAGGAGACGAGGTCCACATTAGGCACCAGGTATCTCGAGAACCATCGCCGTCATAAAATTTGTGTTCAGTAACTTCCAAAACCCCTCAAGTAATGAGTTTCTTCTAATAAAAATAACATAAAACTTCAGGAGACAAGATCCACCATGGGCATCAGGTATCTCGAGGACTGTCATCGTTATCATATTCTTATTCAGCAACCTCGAAAACCCCCTGAGTAATGACTGTCGATTTAGAATAAAATTAACATGAAACTCCAGGAGACGTGGTTCACCCTGGGCACCAAGTAGCTCGACGTACCATCATTCGATCATTTTCTATGTACTTTGAAAATGCACCAAATGTAATTTTCATTTTATCACCATGAATTTTGATCACAAACTTTCCTGAGACTTTCTCGAATATAATGCAAAATTGGTAGGTTTGGAGCTTGGTTATCTCGCCTATTATATGAAATAAATCTTAAACAAGCAGTTCGGGATTGCGTGAGTTTTCTTTGGTCAGCACACATCTTTACTAATCAACTCATTTATAACAATTATTCGAAAAACAAATAAAATGACGAACACATGGGAATCAAAAAAGCAAATTACACAATATTAAAAAAAAATAGTCTTTTTTACTCATTCTGTGTAGTAGTCTGATGGATTTGGTAGCTCAACAGTCATATTAGCGGTTCCAAGACCAGGTACAGGAGGAGGGTTGAAACGAAATTCGTAAAAAAACTTCTATAAGTAAAAACTCCTACCGAACTAGTATTGCAGTAAACAACAAACGACTAAAATAAAGAAAAAAGAATCTGGTTTTGGTTACTGCGACATAGAGCAGGGATTAAATGCAAAACAAGACCAAGTGTGACAGAAAGCTCTGACTTTAATTTAGATGTAGTGACCTGAAGTAAAACTAAGAAGAACGTGACTGAAATTTCTGCAGGATCGTAATCAATGAAAAAAAGCTAAAGTCTGAGTGTCAGTACAGCAATACGAGGTCTGGCTATTAAATAACGAGACTGCGCACGCAGAAGACGTCCTAGAGGGAAAGAGTGGGAAACGAATGCAGCATTGGATAGCTGGAAGTGTCTACTCTTAGAGGTTAGAAAAGAACGCACCCGCCCATAATGCGCTGTCTGTTAGCGCATTTAGCGCATTAAGCGTTATTTAGCCGCTAGATGCATTCCAATGCTCGAACACCCGCCGTACTCGCCTGATTTAGCACCCTGTGACTTTTTCCTGTTTCCGAAGATCAAGTCTGCCTTAAAAGGAACCCGGTTCGAGTCGATGGAAGAGGTGAAGTGAAAAACGGCGGAGCTCCTAAAAGCTCTAACAAAACAAGACTTCCAGCATTGCTTTGACCAATGGAAAAAATGAATGGAACGGTGTGTGGCAGACCTCGTAAATATCAAATAATGACTGAACATTAAAAGCTATGAGGCTAAAAACGGTTAATTACAGCGGATCTTACTATTTAGGAACACACTGAGAGATACTGAGTAATATTTTATCAGGGAAGTCATAATAGAAGGTGATTTTAATGTAGGCCAATCCAAGAGATGATATGAAGCTATATAGCAATACATGGAGGACTAGGAAATGGAATTAGAACTGAAGCTGGAGATGATGTGCTGGAATCAACAGCATCAGATATGGCAATTGTCGACACATTCTTTCAAAAGACATAAAGTTAACTTACTACTTACAAAAATGGACAAAATCATTCCCAAATAGATTATTTCATAACAAAAAAGAAGTTATCCATGAATGTGAGGAATGCAAGGTAATAGTGAGACTGTGAGCCATCAACATAAGTTGCTTATACTGGAAATCGAAGCAAAAAAGCGAAACTAGAGCAAAATATCAGAGAGGACCACAAAAAATCAAGTGCTGAATGAAAAAATGTGTTGGAACATGAAAGAAAGTTCTAATACGATTTGAAGAAATATGGCTAGTATTATTAGAGACGCTGATACTGAAACACTTACTGAAAAACCTCAGTAAAGAAGTTTGACAATAAGGGGACCTGGAGGTGGTCAAATGAAGTTAAAAAAAAATAAAAGAGAAGAAAAAACGATATAAACTGTGGCAACGAAATCTGTTGGACACATCTTTAAATCTATACGTAGCAAGAGCTACAGCAGAAACATATACAAATCTATACGATGAACATGATATCGAGGAAGGAACACAGACATAAAATATCCAAACCAAACATTCATATCTTGAAAATATGAATCAAGCAAGAAACCCACGATGCAGAAGAAGGAATTATATCTGGGACCTATTGCATAGATAACATATTTTTCTTGAGAATAACATTGCATATGATACATAGTTAAATTTGATATTCAAAGAGTTAGAGAAAGCCTACGACAAAGCGCTAATAGACCAGTGCAAGATCAAGACTAATTTTAAATCTTGAGTGGCGTAAATAAATAAGGTGGCATACATGAACACTAAAGTGTTATGTGTGGTCTCTATTACTATATGGTTGAGAGACCTGGACATTAAAACAGTATGACGTCAACAAATAAATTCATTTGAAATATGGATGTACCGCCGAATGTTAAGAATAAACTGGACCAGCAGAACTACGAATGAATAAGTACTGAGAGTAATGAACACACGTCCCAATCTGGTCAATACTATCAAAATTGAAAAGACGTCATATGTAAGACACATAATCCGCCATAGGGATTTGAGAAGCTCCAGGTAATATTAGAAGGCAAGATTGAAGGTAAAAGGGGCATAGGACGAAAGAAAAAATCTTGGCTACGAAACATCAGATATTGGACCTACACAAGAAGAAATGAATGAATTCATCAAGCCCAGAACAGAGAAATTAGGAGGAAGATACATGAATATTCAGAAGTAATTCTTATCAAGAAGAACATGAAGATCCATACAAAAAGTACAAAAATTGTTTGCGACACTAGATTGCACATTTACAAAAACTGCTAAAATTCGATTGTTCCGTCCTTCCTTAATGTTAAAAGTAGCGCAGAATTCATGTCACAATTTTACTTAATGTTTACACGATTGTTGAACTTCAAGATTACATAAGAGGAAAAAACATAGTTAAGTTTGTAAATTCGAGAAGACTAAATTCTTTGATATGTAGAAAGAATCACCTGGAAAGATTCTAAAGGGAAAATTTTTACGAAATAATTAAAGGACCAAGTAAGCAATGGCTACAGGATGTGGAAGAGGATTTGTCAGCGATTTAGGTGGTCACGCGGAGGAGAGATGTGGTAAAGAGGAGAAAAAACTAAAGGCAAATTGTGGAAAAGACTAAGATTACCATGGGCTGTATCAACGAGGATAATGATGATCATTTTGTGAATAATATGCAGATTATAATAGAATTGGGATATTAAATAACGAATTTCGACAATTATCACTTATACAAGTAATATAAAAGAGAAATCGTAGGCTTCCACGGCCAGAGTCAGAATTATAGTTTATTCGTCTTCCAGGTTTGGACCGTGTCATTTGTGAGTGACCCAAAAGATGAACCCACTTTTGGGTCACTCACAAATGACACGGTCCAAACCCGGAAGACGAATAAACTATAATAATATAAAAGAGTTTTAACTTGTATTGTTTAGTAAATTTTTCATCATTACTTCCCATAAGAAACCCTACGCATTAACAAACACTCCAAACTGCTTTTTTTCGATATTTAGATCAATTTACCAGGTATTTCGGATATTCCGGTTTTATCGATTAGAGGAAGTTCGGGTAGAATTGGTTTAGCTTCTTCAACTTCTTCTTCTTCCTCCTCCTCCTCTTCTTCCTCTTCTTCATCAGAATCTGGTTGTTCGCCAAGCCAACCTCGGCAGATACCTGCACCACAATAGCATTTTTGGGCTTCTTTGCTATATTTTATAAAAAAACTGTTAATGAAAGTATAGTAAATGTAAAGGTGAATATTCTAAAAGTGGTGATAAGAAAAGAATGTGTTATTTCACAGAACATAAATTTGTTTTTACTTCTAGCATCCCTTAGTATTCTAATCCAGCCTACAGACAAAACATATAGATACCCATTCGATATTTCCAAAATCCCGGTTATTTGGTAACAAAGAGTGGCCTGATACCATGAATTTGTAACCAATTGTTTCAATTTTGTTCACTGGGCCTTCAACAATATCTTTACATATTAGCAACAACTTTATGTTGAAGTTTTATTCAAGGCACACATCACTGTAAGTTAGTAAAGGTTTTGTCTTTTTGTAGTGATCTTTTCTGTATTAATATGCCTAAACCGACTTCTCGGGAGTGCCATAGCTTACATATAAGCCTTACCTATCACTGGGTCCTAAATTATTATATATTAAATGATTATCATAATTTAATAAATATGCAATGATTTATATTCATTGATATATAAAAATTAACGAAAATATTAAAAAAATAAAAAAATTATTAGTTAAGGCCTTTATTTTGGATGTGAACAATTTGAAATTCGCCATTAAAAGAATTATTATCATCTAGAAGGTGAAATGCGTATGTAGAATCAGTTTTCCTATTATTGAAAGCCCTTTTATGTTCTGCTATACGTTTGTTAAAAGTTCTACCAGTTTGACCGATGTAAGTTTTTGGGCAGTCGCCACATTTAAGTTTGTATATCATTCCACATATTAGATAATATAAGATAGTATTTCAATAACAATAAAAATACTCAAGCACAAGCTTTCTGAGCCATATACATAATAGATCCAGAAATAAAAAAAGAACTAAAATCAAATTGAAAATATTACAAATAAAAATGATCTTTAAGAAAATCATAATCATCATAGAAAAGACTTTTGTGTCATCTTTTGATAAAATTCAAATTGTAACAAAAAATCAAACTTCAAATATAATTTCTAATGTTTCTTAAATACAGGTACTTACCCATATCTTTGGAACCGATAGTCAAAAGTGATTTCCTCGCCAGCTAAGATCGTTCTGGTACTAAAAAATCCAATCCTCAACTCACCGTTAACAGTCCACTTCTGTGTTTCCGCATTTGGATCGCAGGAGTGATTGATAAACCGGGAGATGTTTCCTACAAAAAATATCTTTAAATTTTTCGAACAAATATATTTTTTTCCAGTTTAAATATATGTAAAAGAGAATAGCATCGTCGTGGACCAATTTTTCGACATTCTGCTTAACTCAGGTTAGATTTTTTATATGTATTACAATCTGCTAGCAGTCACTAAAATTTCTGTAATGCACAGAATTTTCTGTTAGACAAGGTTGTTACTAAGGTTTCATTGTATTATGTAACTTTGGTTTGAATCCGTTCTAGGTGCTTTCTTTCTCGCTTTCCTTCTGTCTAACAATTTCTAGCTCTCTATAAATGCTAACTTTACTACCATTTCAGCTTCACGTGACTCTTGATTCTTCGCCTGGGTCTTCCAGTTTCGTACTCTCAATATTCTTAAGTTGTTCTGTACCTAGTCGTTAAAAAGTACTTTGATCTAAACCAAGCAGAAAATAGGAAATAATGGACAACTAGAGCGGTGCTATAAAACATTCTTTTAGTTCCCAATTACAGTTAATCTTCTTCAATACACTCTCCTTACCGATCCCTACAATGCTCCATATGAATTTTCCAAGTCCTGGAAGTCTGCTCTTGTCAGTTTCTTGAGAACATGTATTTTTGCTTTCAGTGATTCCACATTGTCAAATTTGTCCACTTAAGCTCTGCTTTACTGTGAGAAACAAAAAAAATCACACGGGGCCAGATCAGGCCAATCCGGTGGGTAGTACAATTATTCTCGATTTCTTTTGCTGTGCAAGAAACTATGGTACAATTTTTATGCAAACTTTGGCATGTTAAATAATTTATGCAAAATCTGTCAGATACTTTCTTTGTTAATACTTGCGACTCAGACTGCGATTTTCGAGAATTAATTTCCCAATTTTCTGGGTGTTGTCATCTGCTATTAACGTTGAGGGTAGTTCAGGACTCGATTCGCTTCAATAGTTACATGTGCCTCCTAAAAGTTTTCAACCCGCTCAAAATCGTATATGCGCGATAAAAATTCACTTACGTACTCCTTCAACATAGCATGAGCTTTTGTATAGTATATTTAAAAAAAAGGCTGAGTTAAATTTTCAGAAAAAAAACTAAATTGTTAAGCATATTATAGTATGTGTGCTTTTCGTACAACGTCAATATTTTAGCTTATTTTACGTTGGGTTTGACTATTTAGATAGAAATTTTTCCACGTCACATGGACTATCGTAAAATTTAGTTACCTGCTATTGTTAGAACAGTAGCCTAGGGATTATTCAGCTGGTCATAGACGTACTTTAAGGGAATTACATTATTTGTTTCGGTTTATTAGATATTTAAACCATTTTCAAAGCATATTATATTTATATAAATCTGTTTATTTTAGTAACCTTATTTAGGTTATTTTTGTTGTTATGATAATGACCCATTAAATAACAAGAAATAAAGAAACTCTTAAAATACATAGCTATTTAATTAATGGTCTTTTGATAGTTTAGACAGAAAAAGTCGATTAGCGAAAGATGGTTTCCGATAAATGTGAACGCTATTTTAAGTAGTATAAATTTCGATTTTGTTTGGAAAACCAATGATTAATAAAATGGTTAATTGTCTTTAGTCATTCATTAATATCAGAATTTTTTTTTCAGTCGATAATAAGCGAGTGAAGAGATCTGACACAGTTCTTTTTTGCAAGAGTGAATAGTGAGTTTGTAGAATATGGAATTAACGTGTGATTATACACCAGTTAAAAAATTAAAGTTGAATCATTTATCATTTAACGAAAAGAGTGTTATCCTCAATGTCTACTATTATTTTAAGCAACACAATCCTTCCAATACTGTTGATAGTATAGTTGAAATTTCGTCTAAAGTAATGGGATATTCAAAATCAACTGTATATAACATTTTAAAAGAAGAAAGAAAAATCAGCTGGTATAACCCCACCCAAACCGTAAAAACACGAAGACCAAAATTGTCGAAAGTGAATGTGGATGAATTTTTTAAAAATGCAATTCGTAGAATGGTCCAATGGTGTTTTACAAGCCATTACCGATGATCCCGATTTACCCTCAATAAGTATAGACAAACTTTGGAAAGTTTTGCATAAGTTAAACTTTAAGTATGTAAAAGTTGGCAGACAGTCAATGCTTATCGATTCCGAAGAAATTGTGTGTTGGAGATTTTCTGAGGGAGTCTCTTTTAGAGCTTGCTAAAATTAATAAACAAAATTATAAAAATATGTCATTGAGCCAAAAAACGAGGAATTGAAATACTTCACCTACCACCGTATCATTGCCAGCTAAATCTGTTTTAATTAGTATGGGTCGAAGTTAAAGGTAACGTTGCTTGAAATAAAACAACTTTTAAATTGTCATATGTTACTAATTTTTTTCATAAATTATTATCCGAAGTAACGACTTGACATTGGCAAATATGTATTAATCACGTTAGGGATATTGAGAAAAATATGTGGGAGCTTGATCATATAATAGATAGCAGTATAGAACCTATAATAATTCATCCCGGATCGGATAACAATTCGTCTGAAACAGAATATGAGGAAGCTTAACTTTAAACTGTAGATCAGAAGTTCATTTTATAATTTAACTAATTACAGTCAACTTCATTGTTTATTTTTTATTTATTTATTTTTATTGCTAATATAATTTTCATTCTTATTTCCAATATTATTAGTATTAAGAATATTATTAATTATTATTAATAGGAATATATAAAAACTTACAGTTTTTGTGTATGTATTTTATGTTTCAGTATAATTTATTGTATTTTATTATTTTATATTAACTGTATATTTCACAATTAATAGAATTTTTATTCTTTTTATGTATATCTTTTTATTTTAAACCAGTATTGGATTTAATTAATTTCTTTGTTCTATATATCCAAATAAATTTAACGCAAACTTTTCTTTTAAGGTTACGTTTTAGTTAGAAGATGTGCACACCTATGTATTTCGAGGTTCGAGCATTAGTATTCTGAGAATTTACTCCAGCTATTTTTCAAATATACTATAGCAATTTTTCTCAGTTTAACAAAAGGTTAAATCATAGCTCTATATGAAAAGACTGCATCTTTTCGAAGGCGGATGATTGCTACAGCGAGACCGAGCCAAAGTTGCAAGATGGCATTATTTATTTTCACTACTCACCCTAGAGATTCAAATCACCCTAGAAATCCGTAATTCAGCGTAACAACTGGAAAGACATTGGTCAGGCAGATATCCAGGAACTGAGTACCTTACATGATGGAAAATGATGTACTCGATAGAAATCTGCCTCTAGAACTTTTGGCAACTATAACGCATTTAACTATCATTGTTCGATTTTTGGTATAGTATAAAAATAGATTAAAATTAGCTATATTTACCTTTCATTGTTGCATCGATGATAGCATCAGCTCGCAAAGCCATAAAATAGTAATGGATATTTTTATCCTGAGAATAAACTTCGGCTCTTTTGTCAAATTCATCACTGTCCAAGACCTCTCCCACGTACTCCAATATAAATTCACCGCTAAAATATTTAGAAGATTAATTTTTTAATTAAATAAGTACAAGTTTATTTCAGCTACTAACGAGTGGTACGAATTATTATGTTTTGTGCATAATTCAAATTCAAAACAACAAACACGTTGAGATCTATTTTGTCCAAAACCAAACCTAACGATGAACAAGAAAGGACAAAGAATTGCATTTATAAAATACCTTGTGAATGGGATCAGTTTTATTTAGGTGAAACATCAAGGCCATTAAATGTTAGAATAAATGAACATCAATCTTATATTAAACATAGAGAATTTGATAGATCTCAAATACGTAAACACGCATGGGATAATGAACATAGGGTTCAATGGAATAATTCAAATGTAGTCCTAAAAGAAACGGATGGTAAAAAAAGAAAAATCAAAGAAGCGGCTTTAATTATGCTAAATAAGGCCAATTGTGTCGCAAATTCCTCGGCAGAATGTAGTAGGATCTGGTTACCAATATTGAAAGGGGAAGTTATTAATAAGAAAATACCAGTATTGTAGCGTTATAACTGCTACATTGCCTGCTTTCTTTCTTATGTTAATATATTTCGTTTAAAATCTATCTTCTTTATATATATATATTTTAGTATCTACCTTTCCTATTTTCTTAATAATCATCATTTTTATCTTTTACTCAAGTTTCTAAAGAGTGAATTTTATTTTCATCTCTATTTCCGTTACTTTGGAACGAGAGGTCCCATCTTTATTCTCTGTGACATTTCTCCTTCCCGTTCGATACAAAAGTCCATATAAAGACTTCTATTTTCTAAAAATGTCGATTTTCTTCATGACTTCTCTAAGAATAGAATAACCAATTGTTGTGTCGTCTCCAGATTTGGAGGTAAGTGTATAATATATTTTATCGATTTCCTAATTCCACCTGTTGTATAAAAATCTTTTTATAATTTTAACTTTAAAAATTCTAAGCTCATTATTTGTGAATGACATGTAAGTAGGTACATATTTTTTTGGATTTCTTGTTTTTTATTTTGTATAAAAAACTAGCGATAAGAAATACATAGTTTCTTTAATATAGTATGTAAAAGTTTTACGAATATTTTTATAGTTTTAAATATGAATTTTAAATCCATAATATCTTTTGATTTTAATAATAATTAACTTTTGACAAACTACCTACTACTACTACTTATTCTAAATTATCTAGCTTTTCAATAAATATATCTTGCCATTTTTTTTTATTAATATTAGAATATTTCAGTTTTAAAAAAGTAATTACCGTTTGCATTAAAGTTATATATATCCTTACTTTTACTTATTTGCCTGTGATAAGCACATAAATAAGAATTGTTTCTCGACTTGCTTGGGTGAATAATGATAAAATTTTGTTAAATTTGATTGGTCACCTTATTCATCCCCCAAGCAAGGTCTCTCATTTTGGTTTCACCATTTTCTAAAGCAAGGTGTGTTTTTCTTCATTTTAGTCAACCTCCGGGATACATTTCTCAGGTGCGGGTCAAATTCTATTACCATCCAGAAGACCAACCGGCCTGAGAATGGAACCATTATTCCAATAGGAGAGTTGACTCCGAGACAAGGAAATCCAAAACTACAAACATGGCTTGCTAACAACCAGAGCAGAAAAGACCAGGATAAAACTTAGGATTTGGTGACAAAAATTCTTCTTTCATATACCTAATGTAACACTGTAGCAAGAAGTCGAATAATTTTTATTTAAATTTAATACGATACTTAACATTTATTTTTCTGTTTTTTTTATATCTTAATAAACATGTGTTAATTTAACTGTGTATTGTTTCTTCTTTTTACTTGTTTGTGTGTGTTGCTCCAGAGTAGGCCATATTCACGTCCTGAGTGAGCTAGCCAGGGAGTGTTTCGTATAACGTCTAATGTAGCAATTTTGTAATTGATACATTAGGGGTTATGACGTTAAAAATTGGTCCCAACGAGAAACGATTTGTCACTCCAACGTTGTTAGTGATGTTAGTCAGGTTGTAGCAGCAAACTAGGGTTTGCGGTTACAGGTTGACAACAGCAGCTCAACGTTGGGATGTTACAAATTGAGCCTCGAAGGGTTACAAATTGGCACCCAATGAATATTTGTTGGCACGTCATAGATTGACGTCCAAGGAATGTTCGTTGGAACGTTACAGCAGTATTAGTAAGTCAGTAAGATATAGAGGATACATCATTTATGTTTTTTAAATAACGAAACATATAAAATCAGAATTTTGGTGTTTATTGAAGGTAAACTAATTGCACGTACAAATACTTACCATGTCGGGATAGTATTATGAGGTTTTTTTCCTGGTTTTTCCCTCATAATTTACTATGGAATCACTAACAGGAGAATTTTACTGTCATCATGTCATGTGTGTCTTTTTAAAGACGAATTATATGCTATGATTTTTTTCTGACGGATATTCTCAAGTTAAAGTTGATTTCATGTAATCGAATGAACTATCTTATAAGTAAAGTCGTCCCAGGAGCGCAACTCAACAATATCGGCAATATCATTTTAAAGTCGCCTACTTTAAAATGCATAATGTATGTCTGAATTGTCAATATAAATGAGTCAGATAAAATTAAATTATTAGAAGAATTTTTCACTATGTAACAAAAAACAAAATTTGTTCAATTTACTGTTTGTACTTTGAGAACGATTTCCGAAGTGAAAATTGAAACGTCAATAAACGTATTTTTATCTTTAATTTTGGCTTATTTCCAGTTAAATAGCAATTAACTCATATTTATAGCTGTTACACTGACTTATGTTTTAAATGAACGACAAAAGAAAAATGACGTTCTTTTCAAATAAACTTTCTTCTCACAGAAGGCCATTTAGTGAAAATTTGATATTAAGTAAACATTATCCTTTTACCTGAATAAAATTCCAAAAAATTTTTTAATCGCTTGTAAACACTGGCTTTACGTACCTAGAAATTTGTAATTCTGAATTCCAAATACAAATGCAATTAACTGATTAAATCTAAATAGATACACAAAATTATGCCCAAAATTTTATTTACCAATCGTTAACAACTCAAAATTGAAACACGTACCTGGCTACACCTACTTTGTATCATTTATTAAAGTACCTTTAAACTTTGGATTTAATTTAAAATGAACCTAATGTAACGGAAGACTAAGAATGACTACAGCATTAAGGGAGTACAGTCATTTTGTGCTTGATATCGGCCCAGTCTTTTAATCTGGGAAATACATCCGAATTATCTTGCAACGAATAGTACTCTTATTTACTTTAAAACTGTTTACTTTTCTTTTTTGGGAATTCTAATGCTAAACTATTATTTTTTAAATATTTAACTGCTGTTGATTGCATATGTTTCATTTATAATGTAAATTTCAACACTGCCAAACTCCAATACTTCGTTACGTCAAACTCATTTGAGGCTATCTTCATCGGAACCAAACGTAAAAAATGTCCGGAATCAAATTATAAAATTGGGCAGTTAAATAATAAAAACCATTGTACTTACAAGGGAATATTAGCTGCAGCTCTAAGTCCGAGACCTTTCTTGTCGGTATTGAAGACTTCGACCGGAGCAAAAGCATTTTTCTGGAATCTTTTGTTCGTGCATCTGTCTCCAACAACACATAAACTTCCGCTAAAATCAGAGAATTTATCATTTTAAATTCAATCCAAATTGGTGATTAAATTAATACAGCCTTGGCGAGGAAACAAAAAAATACAGATAAGTAAAAGAGGAGTTTTTGCTAAATGTCAGATTTCAGTAGTACCACAGATTAACAGACCATGAGTTCTGTTAATCTGTGGTAGTACAGTAAAGTAAACAAATATTAAAAAATTAAAAGTAACTTAATAATAAAATTTCAAGTGCAGTACATCAGCGTGCGAAATATCAGCTGAAAACTGTACATCATTGAAAGCCTTTTCCAGCTTATACATTTATAGGATATATGTATTTATATTTTATAGTTTCAAGTTACTAATTAGTAAAATAAATCGATCGATAACAACTCACTATCAAGACTATTAAATTTAGCAGCAAAACCAGTCAAGTAAACATGACACTTAATTATCTACTAACAATAACTGGAAAGAGACTGGAGATTTTCTAACAATTATTCAAAGTCAATTTAAAATAAAAAATTTAAGGTGTAAAGTAATGAGATAATTAAAAAAATGATAAAATATGGTATACAGCCAGACAATTCGGGTAATTGATATAATAGGCTCGTAGTAACGGTGAATCTACCTTAAATTTTTTAAACAAATCAAAAATAATCTAAAAATATAAGAAGACTAGAATCGGGAGAAGAGTTGTATCTAAATTTCGTAGACTGAAGTCCGTTTTGCAGCTTGCAATTATACCCGCAAGACCCAAGAAAGTTTCCTAAGAGCATGCGCAGTATGTCGTCAGCTGATTATTTCCAGCAACTTATTGCAATTGCGCGATAATCGCTTTGGTGCCATTTTCTCTGCTAGATGCAAGTCTAGGGGAATTTGTACGAAGTTCGATTTTTCCACAATGTCAAATGTCATAATCACTGATTGACACGGATTCACTGTCTTTTTCCTTTATATTTGGCTATTTTTAATAGTCTTGGTATTTCGAAATTTACTAAATAGTGTTAAATAAACAGCAATAAGTAATTAAAAAAAAACAAAAGTTAGGTTAAGGGTAAAAATGTCAACATAACTGTACCCATTGCAGTTGCAAGCTGTAAAATCGCACATAAAGACTATGCAATAGACTTGCATGAAAGTTAGTCATGCAAGAAATTGCAGCAAGTTATCTTGAGAACTGTAAAGCGATATAATACAGAAGTAGGGTAGAGACATACCTAATAAATTTAAAAGTAGTATACAAATTAATGAGAAAATCCCAGTAGTTGGCTGTAACTTATAAAAAACTTTTAAAACTTGTTAAAAGTAGTAAAAGGGCTGTGAGAGTTCGGCGTATTTTCCAATGTTAAATCCCATAAGAAATCGCCAAGGTACATTCTACTGCATTTTTGGCTCATTTTGTGGAAGGGGTAAATCGGCTCGTCGGATCGTGACGTAAGAGGTATCATCGAAAAGGGGAGGGGCAAACGAATACGTAGACACAAAAAAACAAAGATGGTGGCATTGCCAAAAGGACACTAAGCTTGTAACGTCTAAACGGCTCAACGTACAACAACGTGCAAGGTATCGATCGAAAGGGGAGGGGTAAACGAATACGTAGGCACAGAAAAAAACATGACAGCGTATTGCCAAAAGGACAGTAAGCTTGTAACGTCTAAACAGCTCAACGTACAACAACATGCAAGGTATCGATGGAAAGGAGAGGTGGTAACGAATATGTTAAAATAAAAATCAAACGTAATGGCATTTGACGTGAAATATCACGTTAAATGACGTGACACTCGACGCAGAACGTGACATTTGACGTGAAATGTCACTTGAAATGAAGTGGATGACGTCTTTGCGTTTGTTTTTTGTGATAACATATTCATTAGCCCATCCTCTTTCATTTACCGCTTTATAAGTAGTAATTGAACCAATAACAACGAAGATATGATATAGTGCCGTTTTGACAATGTTGCCATGTTTGGTTTTATTATTGTCATATTCGATATCCCATCCTCTTTCATTTGAAGTCTCATACGTCAAAATCGGACCAATAGCAACGAAGATACAATATAGTGCCGTTTTGGCAATATCTTTCCATCTGTTTTTTGTGTTAACGTATTGGATATCACCTCATTTTTCATTTAACGTATTACACGTAGTAATCTGACTAATAACAACAGAGAAACGATATAGTGCCGTTTTGTCATTGTCTTTACGTTTGATTTTTATTTTAACATATTCGCTACCACCTCCCCTTTCCATTGATACCTTGCACGTTGTTGGACGTTCAGTTGTTTAGATGATACAAGCTTAGTACATTGGCAATACGCTGCCATGTTTTTTTCTGTGCCTACATCCCTGACTAACTCCTCTCCTAATTTCAATTCTGGACTGGGTTCGTTATCTATTACGATTTGTGCTCTTTGATTCCAGTAGAGGTTTGTTATTATTCGTAAGTCCCTATGGTTGTTTTTTTTGTCTTTAGAATTTGGACTAATTTTCATGTCTTTTTTTTGTCTTTAGAATTGATATTTCATGTCTACTTTGTCAAATGCGTTTTCAAAATCAACGTAACAAACATGCACATCAACATTCATATCCATGAATCTTTGAGCTAACACATTAAAAGCAAATTAAAAGAAAACGTTATGTATGTATAAATTTTGGACGACACTTTTAACAAGTTTTAATTAAATGTTTTTATACCAATATACAAATTTTGAAGTTTTTTACTTCTGTATAAGTTTTTTAAAAGTACTACTCTTGCACTACAAGAAATCATAGAATTTATGTAACAGAGTAATTTAATTAATTACAATTATTGTAGAAGTAGTAAATGAAAAAGATCTGAAAATGTTTGTTTTATTTTTTTTTTTAATTAAATATTTACAGTCCTATAAAACATAAGCTAATGGGTGTCACAAAATTTATGCTTCTTCTTCTTTGAGTGCCTCTCCTATCGGAGATTGGATATCATTAGGGCGATTCTAATTTTATTTACTGCTGTTTTGAATAGTTCATTAGTGGTACAGACAAACCACTCTCTTAAATTTCTCATCGAAGACATTCTTCTACGGCCTGGATTTCTGCATCCTTGAATTTTTCCTTGCATTACAGTTTGTAGGATTGTGTACTTTTGTCCTCTCAGGTGGCCTAGTTATTCAAGTTTCCTCTTTTTTATATTCATAAGAATATAAAATTTATGCTAGACTTGCATTAAATAGAAAATACTATTTTTTCTTTGGATTGTAATTTTTTTGTTGAATCATAAATTACATAGGATAGGGTTATGTATGGAATAGCACATCAGGCAATGTGCTATTCTTGGCTGACTTGGCTATATTGTTGGCTGACTTCAAATAACCCCATAAACAGAAATCCAATGGTGTTAAATCACACGATCTAGGGGACCAGTTTTGATCACCGAAACGAGAGAGTACACAAACAGGAGATGTTTCATGTAATGATGGAATTTTTTATTGGGCTTTATGACATGTGGCACCTTCTTGTTAAAACCACATATCGTCCACGGCTTCAGCAGCCTGATTTTCACACGGTGTGTACGTTTTTTTTTTTTCTAGCATGTGGCAATTCGGCAATTTTGACGATTAACAAAAGGCATTAAGGTGAAAATGTGCTTCATCGCTTAGGATGATTTTGCTCGAAAAATCAGTATGTACTTGTTGATGTTCAATAATCAATTTAACGAACTCTCTTTGCTGTTCATGGTCATTAGATTAGTTTTTATGTCAACTGAACTTCGTAAGCATGGATATGCAGATCTTCAGTAAGTGTTTGCTTTACAGAAAATCTTGAAATTTCTCTCTCTCAGAAAAACACTATAACGAACTGCTTCGATATTGACTACAATATTTTACTACTTTTACTACTGCAAAATCACTAGTTTTTAAAAATATTGTTTAACAATGAAAACGTATTGTTTTCTTCGCTTTTGTAATAAGCAAGTCGGCATTTTCTCTAATGTCAACGAGATTTCTCAACTAATTTCCACTCTCCTCTCTGTCTCTAGCTCGTTATTTTATTTTACCTCCTTCCCTCTCTTTCTCACACACACCTACGTACAAAAAGACAGAGACAGAAGAAACAAGTTTGAAAGAAATAAAAGAGGAAAAAAGAAAGATGGTCCCCTCACTTTGCCGATGAAACTCACAATCTATTTATATTATAAGTCTATGTTTCTTACTAACCCTAAATTGTCAGATGTCCAACTGTTTTTGTTTTTTTGTCGCCAACTCTTGTTTGGCGGCAAATTCAAAGCTTGCGTGAATTTTGAGACACCCTTTATATATAAAATAATAAATAAAAAACTTACCACTCGATCAATAGCAATCTATTCAGACAATCTTCCCCACATCCGTATTCGTTAGCAACTAGCTCTTCGGAAGTTAAAAAACAATCGCAAACCATTTTTTTAGCTTCCTTACAAACCATCCTATCGGTCCTGTATTGATTTTCTTTGAGATGCACGAACTGCTTCAGCCTACCTTCTACCACGGGATCTTTATGAGGTCTTTTGTTGAGCTCTTCAACGGATTTGAACGGCATCGTGACCTGATTGTCTGACTTGATCGTAGGAGACTGAGTTTCTGAAAATGGCTTCCATTTGCGGTCTTTCGAATTTACTTTGGGGGAGGCTGTAGGTGTGCTTTTATCTGACTCAGTTTGTAAGGAGTTACTGTCTGAAACGTCGCTTTCGAATACAGAGGACTCCGATTTTGATTTAACCAAGCCCCAGCCGGTGGTTTTCTTATTAAGAACACTGATGGATTTGATTCTCGAAGATCGCCTCACTTTTTCATCATCTGCTTCACTTTCAGATTTGTTACTGCCGATTTTAACAGTTTCTTCAGATTTCGCGACTTTCTTGTCGCTCTTTCCCAATTTACTAGTTTCTTTATTATCATCTTTTTCTTTCTGAGGAGTTGTCTTCTTACTTTTTGGTTCTTTTGGTTTGGTGTCTTTTTTGATTTTAAAAGTAGGTGCCTTATCGGTTTGAGCTTTTGTCGGTTTAGTGGCTGGTTTACTTTCAGGTTTAAGCGAAACCGGTTCGTTTGTTTTAGATCTTGATCTGGGCTTTCTTTTATTTTTAAATACCGAAAGATTATTGGCAACGTCTTCAAGAAATAATGGAATCGGCACCAACGATTTACCTTTAACTTGTACCTCAGGTGATTTCTTATTTTTATCTTCAACTGAACTCCTTGTGTTTTATTTTTGGAACTACTTTTTTTCTTATCTCCACTGCTTTCAATTTCTACAGTTTCTTTGGACTTGCCTTTTTTGGGTGAACTATCTTCGCTAGATTTTTCACTTTCTGTCTTAGTAACTGCATTATATGTGGATATTTGGCTTTCTTCTAATTTCATACCAGCTATTCGGTTTTCTAAATTATTTTCTTCATCAACTTTACTACTCTCGTTTTCACTATGGTCCATTTTTTCGCTTTCTTCAATGTGCTCATCTATATGTTTATCTTCATTGAAAAACATACTACTATCTACTTCCATTGCATTATCTCCTATGAAAGATATATTACTATTTCCTTCATCTCTTACATCACCTAATAACACACTTCTATTTTCCTCTTCTTCAATTTTACTATGTTCTACTATATCTACGATTTCTTCAACTTTTGCATCCTCCACAAACGATGGAAGACTAGTTTCCTCTTCTATTTTATTGTTTTCTATAAATAATTCAGCATTTTCCTCGACTTTCGCATCCATGCTATTAGATCCTTCTGTTCCTTCAGTTTGTAGTTCTAAATTGCTTACATCGTCACTTAGATTATCTTCAACTTTCATAGGCGTTTCCTCTACTGTATATTCCATATCCCCACTTTGCTCATTGCTGGCAGGCAAACTATTCCCTTCATTTTTATTAGTCAAACTGTCGATGCTGTCTGGTTGATTCACGTCAGATAATTCAGCTTGATCTTCTGCAAATCTAGCATTGTCTTCTGAAATTTCAGCTTCATTGATATTAACTTCAGACGCATTTTTTGTAGATGATATTTGAGAGTTACTATCGGATTCTAACATATCTGGTTTCTCATCGACAATCATATCATCTGCAAACGGAATCGAGGCTTGTTCTTCTATTATGAACTCTTCTTTATCTGGTCCAGTTGAGACTGAGGTCTCATCTTTAGATATTTCAAGGTTTATATCTTGGACTGATTCGATTCTATATTGCTCTGGAAAAAAAACAGAATTTTATATAGTTAGTTTGCAATAATCCATATCATTGTGACATTGTAAAAACAAAAAAACCCTTTGTTGTTTAAGGGTTCTTTGTTTTGTGCTTTGATCTTTTTAATAAGCTTCCTCAAATAGTTAAAAGAAGTTTATCTGTACAAATGTTTAAAAGCAAATTAATGCACCAATAGTTAGGTAGTTGTTTTTATATTATTGTTGTTTTATATTTTTAATAACTGTAAGTACTATATTTTAAGTGTAATTGTTATTTTTATCTTATTATGTATTACTTAATGTTATAAATTTATTACTTTTGTATATATTATAGCTTTCCCTATTTTTAATAACCTTGTTGTTGTCCTTTTGACTATTAAACCATGTCATTACTTTTTCCCCTTTACATTTCCAGTCATATTTTGATTATTTTTCTTTTTTTATTTTGAAGATTTTCAACAAAAATGTAGTTTAAGTATTTTTAAATGTACAATAAAGTATTTTTCACTGTTAAAAAAGGTTCTGGAATAAGATGAATATATGTGAAATACCACCTAGTTACACATACAGTCAGACAAATTAAAAAATAAATGTTTTGTCCTATTGATCTATTGTCTGTTTACTCAAAATGAACTGTAGAATGACAATAGGTGATTTAAAATAATAATTACCTGTTTTGACTCCCATTGCACTCTCTTTGGAACTCTCGTCTGTAGATTCTACCGTTTTTATTGAATCTAAACAACAAATTACAAAATTAATATCTAAATCTGAAGTTATTTCCTACTGCCTACCAACAAATATTCTTGTCTTATATACAACCTAGATTCAACTTATAAACTATATTTAAAAAAAAATTACTAAACCGATAAATGCATAAAAATAATAGATAATGGGGGTTCTTCTAATTCTCTCTTGCCTGTCAAATATTTTACCAACTGGTAACATTTTTTCTCCCAAGAAATTGACAGTGTGTCTTCAAATGTGTTCCGCATAGTGTTTATTTTTTTATTAACTGTGATCTGTATCAAAAAATATGGAAACCTGAGTATCTAGAGATGCATAGATTGATTATAATGAAGGGAAACACAATTTAGAAAAAAAAATATGTCTAAAAGTATAAGTTTACACATAATTATAGGTATAGGCATAATTACGTAGTACAATTATGTTCTCTGAAGATCTTCAGAGACTGGTGACCAGAATAGCAGAGTATGGAAAAGAGTATGGTCTAAAAATGAATGTCAAGAAGACAAAATTTATGAGAATCCACAGAGAATCTCAGGAAATCAAAATAAGAATAGAAAAGGCTAGAGCAAATTTCAACAAAATGAGAAGAGTGCTATGTACCAGGGATTTAAAATTGGAACTAAGAGTTAGGTTGGCGAGGTGTTATGCTTATTCGACTTTATTTTATGGAACGGAATCTTGTACCTTGAATGCGACATCAATAAAAAAACTGGAATCATTCAAGCTGTGGGTGTACAGAAGTATACTGAAAATATCGTGGACAGAACATGTCACAAACAAAAAGGTTCTGGAAAGGATGAATAAAGAAATGAAAATTTTAAATACAAAGATCGGCACAAGACTGGCAAGGTTTGGAGGCATAGTTTGCAGGGGGCCAGGGCTCGATTTGGGCTGTAGTGCCATTGCAGAGAGAGTAGCTAAAGATGAAAGAAATGATATAAGGAAATAATAAAGGATATAAAGAGAAGGATCGTGAAAAACTGAGAGAATGGTATTGCACCATACAATTTATTGCACAAAAATCAAGTGATGATAGAAATTCGAGAGAGGCCTTGAAGAAGAAGAAGAAAAATACAATATTCCTTTTATGTGGAGATTACTTTCATTTCATGTTCAGTCTGCAAATTAGATAAAGTTAATTCAATTTGGTCAGTACTTGCATATTTTTGACTAGTTTTGGTTGGAACTACATCTAAATTGAATCTTCTTGTTAAAATTTCATTACTAAAGCGATTTTCTGGCGATTCAGTCTGTTCTCCATCGTTATCATCCCAATCCTAAAAATAATGACTTGTTAAAATTTCTTTTTAGGGGCAATAGCAATATTTTAATTGATAGATACTTGATATTGCCTCTTAGAGATACAGCTCTAACAAGACAAATAAATCTCATACAATATTTTCGTACATACACAGAACATAATAGATGTCTAATTAGAGAAAGTAGATGAAACTACCAACTTGTTTTAGAACAAAACCATTACAGAAAACTTTGGTCAAAAATTTGAACACCTACCTGTAATATTTCTAGTAAAGCTCTCTTATCTTTATCAGAAGAGTGTGAACTCTTTGCTACAGATTGTGACTTCTTATTTTTTGGAACCATCTTTAAAAAGGACTGTTTTATTTTGTTATTAAATAGATCACTTTCTGGTGAGTCAACATTCGTCTCGACATTTTTGTACCCTTTTATAGTTTTTGGTGTTGATTTATTTGATCTACTTTTATATTTTGGAATATCAATATTTACAATGCTTTGCCTTCTTGTTGATCTAGTGGACACGGTACCCACTACAATAGGGTTTGTGTTTCCTTTTTTTTTCTTTGGAGGCATTTTCTTGATTAATTATTCTAGCTATTTTTCTAAATAGTTAAACAACTACAACTCAATTATAAATTAAATAACCTAACCATCAATTAAAAATACCTTAATTATTTATAATGTATAAATTAAAAATTTGGCTAATTTGCTATATTTAGGTTAAACTGTATCCGCTTCATTTCTATATCATATAACATTATCAATTTGAAATTTCTCTTCCATGTTTTTATTTCATTAAGAAATATTTTCCTTTCATGGATATTTTATGCTATACCTATGTTATGTATCTGCCACTGCACAGTATGCTGGCCTGCAAAAAAAATATTGCCATCTGACAGTGACAGTACATCAAAGTCAACGGCAAATAGTGGTATCAATCAAATGCATCAACCAACGTAAAGTTTGCAACGGTGGTTTCATGCACAGAACTTTATATGCTTTATTTAATATTTTGAAATAATCACCTCAATTTCCGTCAGACATGAAGTTACAACAGGGCTTCATAAACATCTTTTGCTCGAATAAGACACAGACCAGGTGATCTGTGGTCTCTGTGGAATAAGAAGCAATTGTATACTCGGTTCGCTAATCCATGTCCGAAACTGTACGCTTATTTATTAGTTATTTAGTAATATAGTTTTTACGAAGTTATACTTCATCTAATTTTACATACCGTTGCACGTCATTATGTACGTTAGAGATCGAAGTTGACATAGTTGCCAAAGTATAAAAAAATCATGAATATATTTTAAATCAAATAGGTCACATAATTATTGCAAAAGTATTGCCATCTCTTTACAACGACTATTTAAATTCTTATGTGACATTTTTGAAATAAAACACACTAATTTTGTTCAAAAAGAACAGATTTTATTAAATAGGTAAAAATATAAAACAAGAGTTATTCACTTTAAAATTCAAAATAATAAAGTACAAAAAGTGTCAACACCACTACTGTCAAATAAGTGTCACCAATTTATGCCAAAATTTCACCTTTGTTCTATTACAGTGTGATTCTGAACAAATGTTCTTCATAAAAACGCTTTATAATGCATTTATACAAATTAAATGAAACATATTATTGTGTATTTCTTTAAGTTAACAATAATAGTAATCTTTAAATATTATTTCTACGCGTATATAATAAAATATGTCTAGTGGCTGTAATGCCAGTGTACTCGGTAAAGTGATTCTAAAAAGAACACACCTACCGCCTAAATATTTCGTGTTGGTATCATGTGACGTCACGGGCTATGACACCGATGACGTGCATCGGTATGTAAATTAGATGAAGTATAGTTACTTTTTGACAGACTAGAAGTGGCTGGAAATTACTATACAACCAAGCACACGTCGTGCTCATAGCGTATTTCATTAGAGTATTATTTCGTCGACCCCTTTTGCAAACTTATACTGTGACTTAGAAATTTATAGCATGTATAAAGAAAGTAAGTTTCTATTATATATAAAAATATATTTTATAAAAAAGTTAGCGGTAATTTAGTTTATATCATTAGGTTGCGCCAAATGTAGGCAACCAACTTAAACTTTTTGTTAGCATTTAGCTGGAGTTTCTTGATTATTTATTTATTTAAGAAAATCTTACCAACGCATTATCTGATAAAACAAATGGAAAACTTTGACTATCCCTAATAATAAAATTGAAAATAAAAATAACTAATTAAATAAATAGAACTAACAAAGAATTAAGCAAAAATAATAGAACAATAAAACTATGTTAGCTAAAATAAACAACGCGAATAATACAATTATTTACTACAATATGTTACATTGTAACAATTCAAATATTATATTTTAATATTTAATATTTTAATATTTAATTAATTAATAATTTTAATATTTTTTATTTTACACAGGGAAAATTTGATGGGTTTAGTATACACTTACACTATTTCGAATAATTCTTCTTTTTTTAAAGAAAGAAGTCTGCAATAGTAGTATACTTGAGCCACAGAATAATAAACAATCAGAATGCCCACTCTCCATGGAAAATTAAGTACGCGCATCTCCTTCGCGCAGACGTTCCGCCATGTTTTAGAGGGAACCAGTGTTGTTTATGTGGTGTGCATAGAAAAATTAACCCGGTTTAATTGACTTACGGCAATCATAGACATACTATACAATTATATTAACATTGTTAAATATAATAACATAAATAAATATAATTAAACATAAATATAAACAATTACATAACCTCACAAATCATCTTTTCTTTCCTTCTAAAACATGGCGCACGTGCTGAAAAACTTCAAAGGCGGCATCTGAGAGTGGACATTCTGATTGTTTATTATTCTGTGCTTGAGCTATTAATACCACCTTAATACCACAGAATAATAAACAAATTATACTGAGAAGTAGGAATTGTTGTGTGGTAGGTTTCCGACAATGAATCTGTCAAAATATGGCCGAGCTAAGCGAATGGAGTATATCATTGTTTTTTTTTCTTCTTTTTTAGCTTATTTTACTTTTTCTCAATTACGTTTTTATTTTTTATCTATAAACTAAACATTGCTTTAATAATTGAAATAACATTCTCTCTAAATTTTTCTGTTAGCTAAAATTTAGCAAAAATAAAGTTAGTATAATGTTCTTCAACCTGAACCTACAATGTCGCATCCGCCTCTTTCGAAATGGTAGAAAAAATACGCCTATAAGGACGTTGCCTATGAATATATTTAGAGTATTTTAATTCAATTTTAATTGAAGAATCTGTGTATTTGCTTCTTCAATGATAGAGTAGCTATTAGACAAATTTAATCATCATCGATAAATATTGTTTAATAAATTACGACAATTATATGTATTTTAATTCTAAGTTAGGGCTTAAACCAGGATTTTTATTTTAAGCGTAATTTACATGTTTTTAAGTTGTTGGTTATTTAAGAATTGAAATTTAATACTTTTAGATGAATTTCTTTATAAATGTCCTGGTATCTGCGAGAAACCAAGAACAAAGGAATATTTTGTGACATATCAAGCGAAGAATCAGTTACGCACATTTTACGCAACAAATTAATTGAAAAAATGTTTAGAACAAATAGATTCGTAAACGAATTTAGTAAAATAAAATATGGAATAATCTAACATCCAACTAAAATAATGTATTTTGCAGAAGTGGTAGGCATATAGAGAAATTTCTCTATGGTGGTAGACGAAGTGGTTAAAAGGAATAGGAGAGGAGCGAATATGTTACAAATTATAGAGTAGAGATGAGTAATTCTGTGATTTTTATATACTTGGAAATCGACTCCTATAATTATTATTTAAATCATTTTTAATTTCAAACGTTTATATGGAATTTACCTAAAACAATAATTTTTTCTTAACGTAACTTATTAGATGGAAAGGTAATTTCACCATGTTCCGAATATATCTATTTGGTGGCGAGAAAGATGGAAAGAAATGAAAAATCTTTCCTGAAACAAAAATCGAAGAACGAATTATAAAAATAAAAAAATAATATTCGCACTGAATTCACTACTCTGGTTAAAAACGCTTTCACAAAAAATGTTGATATTGGATTGGCAACCAGTTGAACGAAAAAACAATGAAGACCAAAAACAACATGACAGTGGCGAATCTATACCAATACATTTGCCACTACCATGGCATGACATCTACCAGTAATGATGTACCTACATCAATAAAAGGCATAAATAATAGGTTTTATTTAATTTTTCACCTTCTTGAAAGGGAATTTCCCCACCTCCCCCACCCCTGTGGGGTGTGATTCTCAATCCGAGTCTGTGTTCTGTGTTTGCTTCTAAAATGGCGATCGCGTGCTGAAAAACTGCAAAGGCGGCATCTTAGTGAGAGCGCCCACCAAAGTGGCGTGACACGTGGCAAGTAGCAAGTAGCACGCGTCTAGCATGTTACTTAAAATGTAACCAATGAACGAATTTTCAGCGTACACCAAAATGACAGTGACGTCAGTCGCTCTAATCACTCGTTGCGTTGTTACTTTTAAGTAACATCTAGACGGTGCACTTGCTACTTGCCACTTTGGTGCGCTCTAGAATGACATTCTTATGTTTTTTATTCTGTGCATGATGAGTCCAAAAGGTAATGTCACGACTATCTGAAGGTCGAGGAGATCTGGAGGACTGGCATACGTGATGGAACGCGAACGGAAGGCGCAGGCACAGAATAATAAACAATCATAATGCCCACTCTGCACTCTGCTTGAAAAAACAAAATGTACGAGCAAGCGGAATCAGCCATGTTTTAGTCGGAACCAGTGCTGTTCAGTGACATTTTATCTGGTGTGCATAGACAAATTAAATCGGTTTAATTTATTTACGGCAACTACAGACATAATATGCACTATTTTATTCGTACTTTTAGTTGAAGAATAGATTAAATTATTTCAAATGTACTAAATTATTAATCCCTAAAAATTTAAATTACAGTTCTGTCGTAGCTTGTCACAAATTCCTCAATTCAAGTCTATGTTTCAGTCTAAAACATGGCGTTGGCGTGCTGACAAACTTCAAAGGCGGCATCTGAGAGCGGGCATTCTGATTGTTTATTATTCTCTCCGCAGGTCACTATGAATCAGAGATACTGAATACTGATGTAATCCAAAGTATTCCCTTGTTGTTCGTAATTTTTAGGAATTCTCAGTGAAACTCATCTGGGAATAATGCTTTCTCGTCTTTATTGGTTTTCATTGCTATTTTTATTTCGTTTCACTTCTATTAAGGGTCTGTTCTCTCTCTCCACTATACACCCTGATCCTCTAGGTGTACAACTTTTTTGACATGGTAGTTACGATTAAACGAGTCATATCTTTGCTACAATATTTATATTCCTTCACATTGCTCACTCATCCATTTATTTTTGGCTTGTGTAATAGCATTTCTAATATATTTTCTAATTTTTTCCTATTCCACCATGTTTGTATTTTTCACCCTTTATACTTTCATAGGGTATCATATCCAGTATTTCATCAGTCACCCACAGTTTCTTTGCCGTTTATTTTGTTCTCAAAT